ATTTACAATTTACAATTTACAATTTACAATTTACTAATTAGTTTATTCAATATTAAAATAATGTCATTTTACACTTAAGCATTTACAATTTACAATTTACAATTTACAAATCCTTCATTTACTAGTATATTTTAATCCATAAACAACTACATTTCCAATGAATTATACACAAATTACAATTTATGTATATATGACAATTTACAAATAGGTTGTAAATTTACAAATGACAAAGGAACATTACACTGGTCTCATACTGAGCCTCTAATGCCCGTGGGCTGGGTATTTTCTTGCACCCCCGCCCTGGCTGGGTATTTTTGTGTTAGATAAACACATTGGGCAATTATAACTTGAGAATCAATGCGTTTTCCATTCAGGATACAATTACACTGTGGATATCGAAAAAAGATTAAATTAATCTGCAGATTTAATTAATCTGCAGATTAAAGCATTGATCTTGATATTCGCAATACAAAAGTTCCCAGTTAATGTTTTCCTGTCTGCCAAAATCAGATTTAATTTTACTTCTAAAAAGAAAAATCAGACTTCAGAAAAAATTGGAAATACTATCGGTTTTATGATTTTGAATAAAGCCATTTATTTTTTATGTTTTTTGCCGGGTTGCAAGTAAATACCTTTTTGAGATTTGACAGGTTACCTCAAATTATCGTGTTTTTTTCTCGCAACTTTTCTTAGAATTTGAATAGCAATCTCTAGCAACTATTGGAAGATCTCATATGATTTTTAATTTGCAATATGAAACTTCTAGCATTTCATTTATATCAAACATTTTAACTGTCTACGTCTGTTCAAGTGGTCATATTTTTGAATTTATTAGTGTTCACTACGGTACTTTTTTAACCTTCTTCTGAATTATTGGTTTCTTGCAAAAGTGACTTACTGATTTATGCAGCAGAAACAATGAAGAAAATTAAAAGAATTAATATCTTTTGACGACAGAAAAACGACGAAATGTTCTAAAGGTTACTGTTGTGAATCAATCATGCAACTCTTTTTAATTCTGAGTTATCTGAATATATCAATTTTATAAAGCTAAATAATAGATTTTATATTTTATATTTTTCCAGAAGATGTATTTTTTTAAACCAGTGTGATAAATTATGATATTAATTAAGACATATAAATTAAAACTTAAATTCCTCCCACTTCAAAAAATATTATTGTTTCTTTTTTCAATTCAATAATTCTCTTAAAGATTGACCAAATATTGTTAAAGATGACCCAAAGTGCCTGTATGAATTTGATAAGTATTAGATTGTGTACCACTTATTTAAAATTGTAATTGATAGTTTAAAACATTATTTATCAGAACCAGAAAACTCTTTAATAGGAAGACGACTTTTAGATGAAATTGTGAGATTAAAAGTTACAACTTTTGTAACATCAAATACTATTGATTTCTTTAATGTCGTCTTCCTATTCCAAAGTTTCTGGACTTAATGTTGATTTATCTAAACTGTAGTTTTATTCACACCTGAGCAGGAAATCTTTAAATAAAACGGATTAAAGTTCCAGACTTAATCCCCTTACTTCAGAATTAAATTATTTAAACTGTTAGTTTTGAAGATTACCTTTCATTGGTCGGATAGATGAACTAATTAAAGATAGGAGGCGTTTTTAAACTAATCCGTTAATTAATTAAAAGTTTCTTGCTTTGTTTAAATCATGAATTATAATTAAGGACTATGTATTTTGACTAGCTATGTATATTTTATCACATTTTGACGACTGTTATCAGTTTTGATTTTTATTTTAATATGTTTTGATATGTCGTATTTTTTAAATTTGTTTTTACAATTTTACGTTGTTGTTAATTGAATTAACATGTTGACAATTGATTTATATTTATTGCCAATGGAAACCAATCGATTTAACGCTAGTAAAACATCGATTTCCACATCACATGTATTAATAACGGATTAGATTTCCACTTGTAAAACGTTTGATTGATTTCTGCGTGTGAATGATTGATTGATTTCAGCGACTATGTCTGAATGGATTGCCGTGTGTGGGGAGGAGGGAGATAACCCTATTGAAGTGGAAACTGAAGACGGTAAATTAATTATTCCCCCCCCTCAGGGGGGGGGGGGTAATAAATACCCCACTGAGCTCCTTCCTCCCCCTTCGTCTTAAATCATTTTACAAGTATATTTGGAATGTTTAATTGGGAAAAACAAATGCTTTTTGGGTAAGAATTAACAAGAAAGGATGAAAAACTTATCACTTCTTCATTTCCCTACCTTTATCTACCCCTTTTCCCCCTTCCTTCCCGGGTAATTTTTCTTTTAAAACATCATTTTCTTGCCATACATTTGTCTCTATTTTTAAGACTATTATCCCTTGTAAGTTATCTAATATCTATCCAATTTTTTATGTCTTAGCTTTCTTTATCTATTTATTCACTTGAATATCTACAAGGATGAATATCTTTCATATGAGAATTGTTTTTTGATAATTTTTTTTTTTTTGGGGGGGGGGGAAGTGCAACTTTGCATTCTTATTGATACTTTTTTGATACTTATACCTATAAAGTCATTTATTTTCCCAAATTCAGCGCTCCTGACAAGTTTATATATTTTTTGGAGGAAAATTATTTTTCAAGAAAATATACAACCCTGCCTTTCTATCTATTGGACTTATTTCTAATCAATAGATCTATTTTATAATATATTATCTATGTTTAGATGGAACCCTCCTGCTAGAGACCCTGACCGCCCATTTTCCCGGCACAACCACACTGAAGTACAGGAGCAAGGATACAAACTCATTCAGATCTGTCAAATGCGCTGTAAGTCGTGAATATCAATATAGTTCTAAATTCTGCCGCAAGGTGTCTTGTTTGTAAAAGTTATAAATGCATATTTTCCGTTGACGTTATTGTTATTAGTGTATTGAAAGCCTCTGGTTGTAATTGGGATCTGGCTCCCTCTATTTTTGCGTCAACCCAACCTGATTGATTGATTGATTGATTGATGTATTGATGGATTGATGGATTGAATAATGTTTAGAGTGGTATATTAAAAGCTCCAAGTGGTAGCTGGGACCAGGCCCCTCTCTACATTTGCGTGAATCCAACCAAACCGGAAGTAGAATCCAGGAAACGGGCAGCACCGGAACCAGCAGGTATTTATGATTCCATCTTTCTCAACTCTTGAACCATTTTACTTGACTCATGATCCCTTCTTCTCTAGCTCATGATCCTTACGAACTAACTATGAAACCTTCATGCCTAACTCATGATCCCTGCAGTCTGATCCTGTTTTTCTCAGCTAATGATGCCCTTTTTTAGCTTTAATCCCTGCTTTGATCCCTTTTTTGCTAACACAAGTCCTTCTTCTCTTGCTCATGATCCGTTCTTTCCTTACTCATGATCCCTTTATTCTTAAATAATGATACCTTCTGTCTCAGATCATGATCCATATATCTTATAATCCCTGTTTTCTTAACTGATGATACCATCTGTCTCGACTCATGATCCCTCTGTTCCAGCTGCGGAAGTAGCTCCGCACAAGCGGATACAGAACCTGTACCCGGAATACGATCCAACCAAATGTTCTGATCTAATCATTCTTGGACTCAAACCTACAACTTCAGCTGCAGAAATCCAGGTAGAAAAATACTGGGAGCTTCCCGCCACTCATAGTATATTTCATTCTCAGGATATTTTTGCATAAAATAATATCAAAGAAAACTTAAAAAATCCTTATTTTAGGATTTTTTCGAGAAATTCGGCGATGTTGAAATGGTTCAGGTGAGCGAAGCTTGATTTTATCTAGTTAACTTAGTAGCAAGCTTTATTTATCTTTTTTTTACCATTAAAAACTTATTTTTGAAAAAAGTACTTCTTTACCCAATGTCAAAGGAAGTTTTTGAATAGCTAAATTTTAATCGAAAAAAATGAGAGCAGGTTTAAGAAAATCAAATCCATCAATTTTATCATCGGTTTTTCCATCTATTTACAGGGGTGAACATTTTCCTGAAATTCCCCCCTTTTTTTGAAAAAAATTATTTTTTGGTTTTTTTCGCTGAATTTAGAAAAAAATGATTTCTTGGGGAAAAGAAATATCTTTTGACTTAAAAAAAAAAATGTTACTAGGATGAATAAACTTTCATGCTCGATTATTATACATCCCTGTATACATCCCTGTATACATCCCTGTATACATCCCTGTATACATCCCTGTATACATCCCTGTATACATCTATCCATCGATCTATATATGATTGTGTTCTAGACGAAGAACTCTAAGGACAAGAACGTGGCCTTCGCGTTTATCAGGTTCAAGGATAAGATGGTGGAGAGGAAGGTTCTCAGGGAAAAACATACCATTGACGACAGAGAGGTAAAAAGAATTTAAAGAGACCAATCAGGAACTTTTAAGATACTTTCGTCCAAATTTAATTATTTGTTGAGCGCCGTCTTTCATTCTTTATCTTGAAATAAAATATGATTTATGTTCGTTACTGATTATTTTTTTAATTTATCATTGTTAAGAAGTTTTGAAGACATTGATTGATTGATTAATTGATTAGTGCACGATTCGTATCCCTGACAGTCAGCAAGGGGATAAATCTCTCAGGAAGATTTATGTCAGCTATCATAATCAGGTAATTCAGGTCAAGCTCGGGTCATTTAAGAGAAAAACCTCTGTCAATATTAAAATTAACCTCAGTCATTAATGAAAATAACCCCAGTCATTAATAAAGATAACTCCAGTCATTAATTAAAATAACCCCAGTCATTTATGAAATTAACCCTAGTCATAAATGAAAATAATTCAGTCATAAATGAAAATAAACCCCGTCATTCAAGAGAACCCCCTAGTCATTATTGAAAATATACCCCAGTCATTAATAAAAATAACCACTGTCATTCAAGAAAAAACCCTCAGTCGTTTTTAAAAATTATCTCTGATATTCATTATTTCCGACATTTAGAAGAATAACCGCTGCCATTTTGGAGATTAACCGCTACCATTTCGGAGATTGAACCCTTCCATTAAAGTGATTTACTGCTACCATTTAGGACACTAACCCTGGCTATCTAGAAAAATAAAACTGCTTTTAAAGATAAAATGTATGAATTCCGGTCGTGAACATTATAGAGAATTTCCCCGGTCATTAAAGAGAATACCCCGTGCATGAAAAAAAAATCCCGAGCATGAAACTAAATTTTGTTCAGTCTCTAAAGGAGAAAGAAATTCTGGAACATTTTGAGAAGTTTGGTGATGTTGTAGAGGTTTTTATTCCCAATCCTTGGAGACATTTCTGCTTCGTCACCTTTCATGATGGAAGGTAGGTTCATTCATCCATTCATTGATTTATTCATCCATTCATTGATGTATTCATCCTTTTATTCATTCATTTATTCATTCATTCATTCATTCATTCATTCATTCATCCATTTATTGATTTATATTTCTGAGAAGGTAGGGTTTCTCTGGTAGGAAAATAGTCAACTCATTATTTCATTCATCCTTTTATTCAACCCTTCTTATTTCAACCCTTCTTATTATATGTATCTTTTCATTCATCCTTTCATTCATCTTTTTGTTCATCCTTTCATTCACCCTTTTGTTCACCTTTATCTATCCTTCATTTATCCTTTCATTTATCCTTTTATTCAACCCTTCTTATTATATCTATCTTTTCATTCATCCTTTCATTCATCTTTTTGGTTATTCTTTCATTTATCCTTTTGTTCACCTTTATCTATCCTTAATTTAGCATTTCATTTATTCATTCATTGATCCTTTAATTTATCCTTTCATTTATTCATTTATTCATCCTTTCATTTATCCTTTTATTCATCCTTTTATTCATCCTTTCATTTATCCTTTCATTTAGCCTTTCATTTATTCTATCATTTATCCTTTCATTTATCCTTTCATTTATCCTTTCATTTATCCTTTTATTTATCCTTTCATTTATCCTTTTTTGATCCTTTCATTTATCCTTTTATTCAACCCTTCTTATTATATGTATCTTTTCATTCATCCTTTCATTCATCTTTTTGTTCATTCTTTCATTCACGCTTTTGTTCACCTTTATCTATCCTTAATTTAGCATTTCATTTATTCATTCATTGATCCTTTAATTTATCCTTTCATTTATTCATTTATTCATCCTTTAAACTGATTTTTTCTAGTTAATGACCCATTTGTATACATTGAGCGCCTCAAAATTCAAAAATTAGTTTTATATAAATATCGAATTTTTTGTGTTAAATTTTTTGGTTATTACATCGTTAACTCTCAAAAGGGTTTGTATCTCTCCTATTGTTGTTTGAACCAGTAATATTAAACAACATTGTTCAGGGTGGAGGTGACTATCAGGGACATGATCAGATGGGAGGAGGAGGATATGGTGGATGGGGACAACAAGGAGGTTGGGGACAACAGGTAACATACATACATCATTGTCAGTGGTGGAAACTTATGAACGAAGATAGAAACTTAGTCTTATGAGTGCGAAGATATAGATTTATTAATACAAGGAAGTAAAATCATTGTTTAAAAAACTCAACTTTATGAATGCGAAGATTGAAACTTATGAATGGAATTATTTATGGAAACTTATGAAAAAATGATGATAACTTTTGAATTCGAAGATTGAAACTTATGAATTCGAAGATTGAAACTTACGAATAGAAAGATGGAAACTTACGAAAAGAACAATTGAAACTTATAGATTGTAAAGTTTGAAACTTATAAATGCGAAGATTGAAACGTTGAAATGCTAAGATGGAAACTTATGAATGGAATGATGAAAGAAATGATGAAAACTCTGGAATAGAAATATGGGAATTCATGAATGAAATGATGAAAACTTATGAACGCGAAGATTAAAACTTATGAATGCGAAGATTAAAACTTATGAATGCGAAGATTAAAACTTATGAATAGAAAGATTGAAAGTTATAAATGGAAAGATGGAAACTCAAAATGTGAAAATTATAAATTATGAATGCAAAGATGGAAATTTATTTTACAAACTTATAAAGTTAGAAAGATGAAAACTTATGGATGAATGGAAAAACGGAAACTTATGAATGCGAAGATAAAGATTTATTAAATCGAAGATTAAGACTTATATTTAAAGATAGAAACTGTTAAATAAAAGTTATTAATGCAATCCGAGCTGGGAACTTACTTTTTAATTGTGAATATCCGGATTAATGCTTGATCCACTCTTTTTCTTAATCTCCAGTTTAATTAAGGATATCCCATTTAAAATGTTCAGCTCCGTTCATTTATAAGTTCCCACACCCTTTTTAATTGTTTTTAATTTTATTATTTATCGTTTCATCTAGGGTATGGGAGGAGGAGGTATGGGAGGCAACATGGGAGGCAACATGGGAGGCAACATGGGAAATATGGGAAATATGGGAAATATGGGAAATATGGGAGGACCCATGGGAGGTGAGTAAAAAATTTCCTTTTTACTCCCACAGAGGATAAGAACTCTATGACGCCCTTAAATGTCAATCTGAAGATTAAATGTATATTGTACTTTAATGGTTTATATTTATGTAAAGTAGTAATTTATTTTGTATGTCTTTGTCTGTCCGATCAAAGGTTCATAACTCATGAACCCCTTGACCTATTTGCCTCAAAGGGAACTGGTTTAAAAGTTCTAAGTTTCCAAAATAGTGCTAATGATAAACCATAGAACAAATATAGTTTTTACTCTTTACTGTCGTCTTAGAAGTCTCATCTTTTGTGGGTTACTATGCATAAATTATTAAAATTTTATCAAAACTCGCAAATCCATATTTAAGCAGGAAATATGGGAAGCATGGGAGGAAATGTCGGACCAGGACCCAATATGGGAAATCCTAATATGGGAAATCCAATGATGGGAAGTGGAGGTAATTTTTTAATTTTAAAGATTACGATAAGAAGTTCAAAATTGTTTTTTTTAGCTGACATAACTTAATTGTTAAATGTAGGAGAACGAAGGGGTGTTTATTTTCCTATTAAATCATTCTCCCTTTCGAAAAGAATTATGTGCTTAATGGGGGAAAAAGATGATTTTAGGTGTGAATAATTGAACTATTTGGGTATCAAGTTTTAAAAGGATTAAAAACGTTTAGTTTTTATTTCCCCAGCGTAAAAATCATTCCACAGGTGCAATTATTAAAATGATATAACCCGGCGGGCAGTGCTTATGATCCATTTAAATTTTATGCGGATCCGAATCCTGGATTCGCACTGGGCCGGGGACAAAACGGATCCTGATCCAAATCCGTATCCAGATTATAAACATTTCTTCAAGACATCCTGGATCAGGAAATTTTTAAAATCTCTTTTTGAACAGTATAGATTTGGGTTTTAAGAGTGAACAAGTTTGTTTTTGCAGTTTTTGGTTGATATTTGGTTCATTGGATCCGGATCCGTCGATCCGCATATGTTTGAGGATCCATCCAGGAAGCCAAAATCTAGCGTATCCTAAGCACTGGATAGGGGATAGATTTTTTTCTTAATGTAAACTCGTGATGCGTGATGTCAAAACGTGTAAATCCTGCAGTTTTCTAACAAGAAAAGATCGCTAATATTATCATGTTTCCTTCAAATTAATGTTTTAATTTTACCAACAGCAAGTAAACTTCAAAATAGCTGAATCTCAAATTTTAGATCAAAAATATCATCCACTTGAATCCTATTGAATTTGATATTAGTTTTGCATTTTGACCTTTTTGAGGTAAAAATAAACCCCCAGTCTGATAAATGTTAAATTTTGCCTAAAATGTCTTACAACTCTTAAAATTCCTAGTGTTTAAAAAGTATTTTTAAAAAATCGTTTTTAAGGTTGGCCAGGTGCAGCTAACTATGGTTACGGAGCTAACCCAGGACCTGTCCCACCCCCACAACCTCAGGTTAGGCATTAGGCAGTAATTTTTCATAAATTTTTTATCTATTTTATTTCGTTTTTTTGTTCGTGAAAGCATATTAGCCGAATTACCATGATTCTGATTCTGATTCTGATTCTGATTCTGATTCTGATTCTGATTCTGATTCTGATTCTGATTCTGATTCTGATTCTGATTCTGATTCTGATTCTGATTGATTCTGATTCTGATTCTGATTCTGATTCTGATTCTGATTCTGATTCTGATTCTATTCTGATTTTGAATTTCATTTGATTTCTTCACCTTAATATACGATTTGTTACAATGCTATTACAATGATTATATTTTTACTTTTTCGTTTTATATTTTATAAATTTTAATTTTCTTCTTGAAAAATGTCTTTATTACAGGGATACGGTGGTCCTCCAAACCCCGGATATGGAAACGGAACAGCTGACAGGACAAAATCCAGGTGGAATAATTAAACAGAGGTCAGTTATCTATCTACTAATACTTGCTCGGCGGGTTCATGAGATAAGAGTCACGTGATTCCCGCCATTTGCAATTTCTTAGATATTTGATTCACTTTTTTCCATGAAATTTGTTTTCTCTTGATATGATTTTGATTTATCCTTAAAAATAGAAGAGAAAATCAAATCTATGATTATGAATTATAATTACTTATTTTCATAATCGTTAATTAGTTTGTTTATGCCTTGTTAACTATTTAGGGTGTGAGCGCTGAATTGATGGATGAATTGCGGATGATATTGCGTCATTTTCTCGTGTTGAACATGAACATGAACGTATTCCATGAACATTGATGACTTATTTGATGAATTACATCCAAGTGTGTTCGATCTAGATTGTCTTTGTATACATTGATCTAATTCAATTAATGTTTTTTTATGTTTTGTTCAATAATATTTGTAAATTTTGTAACTGAAATGTGTTTGGTCGCCATGTTGAATGATCGGTCCGCCATCTTTGTTTTGTCTACGACCATGAATATGCGCATCTTGTTCTGATCGCTGAAAATCCGCGAATAAATCCTATTAACCTTACTTTGTATTGACCTGAATTTTTTTCAAATATATTTTTTCGCTCTCTGTAGTAGAATACAGCCTCTTTTTTCAGATTATTATGAGTCAAAACTCAAATGATCTTGCTATTTCTGACCCAGGAGTGGTTTTTGTTATCCAGGTAAGCCTAATGGCTGTCCTGACTTCTGATCCTAATATTGTTCAATTTATGTAACAACGTATATTTTTATGTTAAAATGATCTTAAAGGCACTGTCGACGTAATTTCAAATGACCCCTGGTGCTTATAAATGACCGATTCACAATGTTACCCTTTAAACTTTTAATCTGAAGAATAATGATTGATTTATCATCGTGATTCCTTCTGAAAATTTATTATTTTCAATTTCTGATTTCTCCGAATGCGACTGCGTATTGATGCTACAGAAAAAGGAAGGAAAGGAAATAGTAGTATTTATATCTTTTCTAAACTATAAACGACAATATCTTACTCATTTTTAATCAGATGGGACTTTTAAAAAGGTTCTCTTGTGAATTGGACATCCTTAAAATTGGTCTGCCGCCCTCAATGATTTGTTGGTTAAAAGATCCTGAATGTTTTTAACATAATGTTACGTTTCTGTTTGTCTCCTTTAAACTGGAGAAATGTGAGCAACCGTGACTAACCCCCCACCCCCGTTACGTTTTTTAAAGAAGGGTAAACGAGTTAGAACTGCAATTTATTTAAATTAACTATAGACATAATCACTACCCTAGGATGATCATTTTAGGTACTTTTACCTGACAGTTCACATAATTAGTTTTGGGGGATTTTTCTTGGATCCATAATTTACCAGATTCTTAGTAGAACTGGGATGTATGTGTATTGCAGTAACCCGTCCATAGGCTGATGATGAAGGATTCTTCTAAGTCCAGCTACGAAAGTAGAACCTAACCATTTCAAATTTATTTAAATTTACTATAGATAGAATCATAAGTTGTCTCTTTTAAATTCATAATGAATGAGATATCCTTAAGGCTTTTTAGCTGAAAATAAATTATTTTTAACTGTGATTTCTCTGTAAAAGAGCAGCCCTGTCGTTTATAAAGAAGTGAACTCTGGTTGTTTGAATGTCCGATCATAACTCATGACCCCTAGACCAATTTGTCTCAAATTTTGAGTTGGGAATTCGGGAGAACCAATGGAAAGTTCTTAGTCTGGTTTTGAGATTTAAATTGAGCGGGTCCACTTAAAAATGGGGGGGAAAAGCTAAACAACAAAGCGCGGGTAAACGGCGGGCAACGCTTGTCGACAGTATTTAAACACAAGTCCCTTAAATTATAAAGGTCGAGCATGCTAGCAGCCCTGCCGGTCACCGGATCCAGAATATTCTAGAGAAAACGGATATTGTGGATTTCCAGCTGAAGAACAGGCAGGAGGACCAGATCAGATACAAAGATGGGGTTACGGGGAAGTTCGTTAATTTTCCAGGGGTGTATATTTTAAACAGCTGGGGGATGAAAAATATGAAATTGGACATCAAAAGGCATGTGTTATCCCCCTTTTTGATACTTTTACCCACGAATCTTTTTTTCCATTTCAGCCAGAAAAGCAAACATACGAACTTCAGGGTTAAAATGGGGTCAAAGGGGGGGGGGTAATAATTTTCAATGAAAATATACACCCCTGTGAATTTCACTAGGGTTTTGTTACTAATACCTGAGGTTTAAATTGTTGTGTAAATAACGGTCATCTATATTGCTTATATCAATTATACATTTTTACTACATTTAAGGGACTGAAAGCTTAATTTCAAGTGACCTTCCATGCTAAGGTAGCAAAGTTTGATTTACAATGGTACCTTTGAAGCTTTGTCTGATACAGTTTGAATTGATATCCATGTTTTTATTTTCTAAATCTGTTTATTTATATGTGTGGTTTCTCTGCAAAAGGCACTTGACGTATTGCTTTTAAGAAACAATGGAGAAATTCACAATGAAACGACGTTATCTTCCACATTTTGGATCAGATAAAGGTTTCAAGGGTACTTTTGTAAATCAGGCATTGTCATCTTTGCATGAACGGTCACATAAAATTACGCTATCTTTACCTTTTAAATGTTAGGTTAGGTGCTTATTTCCTCTGTTTTAGTTATCCCTTCCGAGTTTAACCACCACGGGGTATTTAAGCTGAATAAAGTTAATTTGTATGGCCCGTATAGGACTGCTTGAAGATAAGAATAACTACTTGATCCTGGACGTCAGAAGATCGAAACAATCTTAATCAACTTAAAGGGACAGACCGGCTTTATAAGGTAGTTAAACTGAGTATGCAGTGTTGTGGACAAATTCTTTAGGATTCATTTGAGACATCTAAAACGTTTCGACAATGTATAATTACTGAGTTTGAGCGAAAAGTCGACGTTAAAAATTGTACTTTTGGGTGGATGTGTTTTCAGAATTGTTTTTTAATTATTAAATAAAGACGACAAAAATTAACTAAATTCTACAGTAAACTAGCTAGTTGTTTAGGAACAGGTTGAGAAAATAAAAATAAACTCTAATCGTCGAAAATAAGTAATTATTCAATTATTAGTTTCTATAATCTCTCTTTAATTACAAAGATTTTCAGCAGATTTTCTTGAATTTTTATTAAAAAGACGACCTTTGTAGAATTTGAAGAAATCTGCTAACAAATTCATAGAAAAAAAGAAATTCTATATATTGATGAAAAAGGAAATAGTTAATAAGTCATAGTTATTTATTAATTTATAAAAAAAATGATCCTGAAAACGTACCCACCCAAATTCATGATTTTGAACGTCGACTTTGCGCTGAAACTCAGTAATTATACATCGTGGAAACGTTTTATATGTCTCAAGTGAATCCTAAAGAATTTGTCCACAACACTACCTTACTTAGCCGGTCTGTCCCTTTAAAACACATGTATCGACTGTTTGCTTAATATTTTGAGTGTCTTAAGATATAACATCTTTTTCATAAGTTTTTAACGATTTTTTCTATTGATTACTTCGTCATCCTTAAATCAATTAGAGATATGAAAATACTGATAAAAGATATGCCGGAAATTAAATTCGTTAAAAATAAAGAACGATAAGTTTTTATAAATAGTTTGTACTCATAACTATCATTCTGTGTGAAATAATGTAAATATTATAAAAGCGGGAAAGTGTAAAAAAATTATTTTGAATGTGTTTTCAATATAAGGGACTGATATCAGTTTGGAAGTTGGCCCGATGTTCCCTGATTAAATAATGTGGAATTTATCGTAGTGTTTGACTAGGACAATAAGAAATTAACAAATCATACAGAGAATCTACAAATGAAGATGACAAACTTTCAAAGACGATGATGTATATATCATGCAATTTTGACAAAGCTGTTAACGGTACTGGTGCGAATCAGACGTGCCACTCACAAGTTTAGTGTCACTTGAGTAACGGTTATCAGTCCCTTTAAAATCTAGCTATTTTAGTCTTGAAATTTAAGCACAAAGGTCATACTTTCCTATTTTCACAAAATAAAAATTCCACATAAACCTCTAATTGACAACGACACCCTCCACAAAAACCGGTTATTGCTTTGTTCAGTGTACTGCAGATTACAACAGTACGCATCGCAAGCCTATAGTTAAGAATGGGGACCATGAACACATATTTTTACTAAGTTAAATAACACGACGTCTAAAAAATATTTGACAAAATATCAAATTTATTCTAATCTATCTGATCTGACAACCAGGATATCGGAACAGTTCTGCAGAAAGGATAAAGAGACAAATATACAAAACAAGTTCTCGTGTTTTCCCTGCAGGTAGAGAGCAGTCCCTTTAATTACGGTCTCATGCTTTCTTTTGACATGTTTGTGAAAGGAACTGATAATTCTTCATAAAGTATAATTTTACTTTGTATATATCTTTGCAATCTGATGGTTCAAACCTTTGATAGTTTAAGCTGAGACTATTTTATGTAGCAGAGTTTATAGTTAAAGATATTAAAAGTCTACGACATCAGACTGCTTTAGATTGCTTTAGGATTAGAAAATTAGAATTAAATCCTTTGCATTAAATTTGTAATTAATAATTTTCAAGAACAGTTGATAAAATATATAATATTTAACTGGAATGGGAAGATTGGTTGGATGGTTGTGTTTTTTTTTGTTTTTTTTTTTTGTTAGTTAATGATAGGTTGGTTGGTTGAATGGTTAGTTGATTTATTGATTGATTGTCAAGGACTGTATTGGAAAGTGTGGATGCCCTGAGATGCCATCTACAAGGCAGCAAACATCAGCATAACCTGGAGAAACCATCCAACCATAATGTAAGGAGAAGATAGTTCTGAACTGGGCACGTTAATACTGGGCACGTTTTTTATAAGCACGTTTATTATACAAGGCACTTAATACTAGGCACGTTAATACTGATCATATAAATTCTGGGGAAGCTTGGACTGGGCACGTTTACATTTGGCACTTATGTCCTGGTAACGGTTATACTGGGCACTTTTTTATACATGGCACGTTTATACTTGGTACGTTCATCCGTTTGATACCGGTTAGTAAAATTAATAGAACGGACAGGGTGATTAAGTAACCAATATTTCAACCCCTCTTAACCCTATTCCGTCAATTTGACACCCCCCCCCCCTGTAGTTTTTTTTACATAACTCAAAAAGTATTGGTCTGAGGCTGTTGAAATTTTCTGACTTTTCCTACATACCCAAAGCCCTCCCTTTAGGCCTAAAACCGGGCTTTAATACTAACTGCCTGAGTCCTCAGGCACACTGCCTGAATGACTGCTTTTGCCTGTAACAAACTAAATCTTTGTTTTGACCCACTTTCACTTGTCAGATTTTGATAAAATTTAGCTTTTTGGAAAGCCTATGACATAAGGAAACGGATTGGACAAGTTTTGCGAAAAAAAAATTGCAAATTTTTTGCAAACAAACTGTCAAAGGAAATTTGCACATTTTTAGTTTTTCTTGATTAAAAATCAGGTTATTTAAAATTTTGCAAATTTTTTTGCATATTTGAAATGGCATGGTCAAGGGCTTTTCAAAAATGTATAATTTTTCATCTTTTGGACAAATTTTTTTTTGCAAACATTTTTACTATAAAACTGGATTTTGCGATAAAAAATTCAATTTTCGCAAATTTGCAATTTTTTTTTCAGATTCTAAAAGTAGAGCACAAGAGCTTTCTAATGATGTATCATTTGTCATATTTGGACATAAAACATGGTATTTAGAGGGGGGGGGGTTAAAATGACCCCCCCCCAGCGTATCCTGGTTTTCAAGTACCCCAGCAGGGATAGGGTTAAAACCAGTTTTATCATGTCTCATCTAAAATAGGTTAATGAAGTTTATGATGATCCATATTACAAAATTACTGTACTTTTTGTCAATAAAATATGTTTTAACTGAAAACAAATTATATTAATAAATGAGTATTTTATATTTTAGGATTTTCTGTTCATAAACGGAAAATGGAAAGAGCAAAGAGGTAAATTAACAGATAATTGATTGTTTAATTGTTTGATTAATTGATTAATTTGTGACTGACCCATTGATTAATTCAATCATTAATTTATTCATTCATTCGATTATTCAATAAATTAATTGATTGTTTAAAAAATAGATCAATGGATTGATCTTGTTATTAAGTGATGATAGATCAAATAAATGATTGATTGATTGATTGATTGATTGATTGACTGACTGACCGACTGACTGACTGACTGACTGATTGATTGATTAATTGATTAATTGATTGATTGATTGAATGATTGAATGATTGATTGTTTGATATATTAGCTGTCAAGCGACGAGCTCCTGATGAACTATCCCGGCGTGAGAAAACTAAGAAAAACAAAAAAGATCGGAACTTTCCTGTTTACAAACAACATACTCAGGTGGGTCTTGTTATTGTACTGCAAATGTGTTTTCAAACATACCCAGGTGGGTCTTGTTATTGTACTGCAAATCCATATCTATCTATCTATATCTATTTATCTATATCTATCTATCTATCTACCTATCTACCTATCTATCTATCTATCTGTCTGTCTGTCTGTCTGTCTGTCTGTCTGTCTGTCTGTCTATCTAACTCTTATCTAACTAACTATATATCTAGGAAAAATACAATGAAACTAAGACGTATATAGAGAACGGGTTGAGGAAAATACGACCTTACTATTTTACGTTCATCGCTCATGCTAAAGGTGAATTATATTCATAAAAAATAAAATATATATTTAAAAAACTGTGGACATAATTTGATATGACACTCTTTTTTAAAGTTGGATGTGAAATTCAAGGATGTTTGAGATATAAAAGGTGAGTCAAAAAAAGTGGTTAGTGGCGCCTGGTGCAAAAGTTTACCTTTTTTGTGCATCTCTTCTGTATAGTGATTTTTCAATATTTTTTGAAAATTTATTGTTTTTTGGTACTCCCATAAAAATCCTCGAACCTTTTTTTTCTTAAAATAAAAAGTTCAGGAAAGCAAAAAATTGTATATAAATTATTTCTATCGATAGAATCACAGAAAATTCGCAAAATTGTAATAAGAAAATTCCCAATTTTCAGTCCTCTTCTAATTTTTAAGGAAAAGTTGATTTTTAATGGTTCTTCAGGTTTCAACTGAACAACGTATAGTTTTAACTTTTGAATATACTAAGAAGAAAGGAACTAGAGAATTCAAATAACTTTTCCTTAGAAATTAGTCCCGAACTGAAAATTGCGGATTTTCTCATTACAATTTAGCAAATTTTCTGTGATTCTGTGATTCAATCTTTATAAAATTTTAGATTTCGACAGAAATAATTTATATACGAATTTTTGCTTTTCTGAATTTTTGATTTTGAGAGAAAAAAGGTTCAAGGATTTTTTTGGACCATTGGAGTACCAAAAAAAATATTGAAAAAACACCATACAGAGGAGTTGCACAAAAAGGTACACTTTTGCACCAGGCGCCGCTAGTCGCACTTTTTTTTGACTCACCCTTTACTTATTTTTCTCTATAAAAGTCAACCTTTATGTATAAACAATAAACATATATATATATGTTAGATATAGCTGGCTAAACGGCTGCACCAAATTGGCTGAAATTTTATTTTCAAAAATCAGTTTTTTTTTCAAAATTAAATTTTTTTATTCCACGGGCAATGCCGGGTTGTTAATAATATTTTAATATTTAGGAAGATGGGTTGGCAAGGATCTAATAATATTTTACTATTTAGGAAGATGGGTTGGCAAGGATCTCTGGACAGTTTTCTCAGAAGAATTTAGAAAAATGGAGAAAGAAGATTTTCTCAGGAACATTAATTTTTTTTATATCTAATGAAATCATACTCATTGTTTAAAATAACAATTCCCATGTTTTTTGGGAAATCCTGTAAATTAGTTTTAAGAATTAAAATTAAGATTTTGTTGGGTAGATGTGTAGAGAGTGGACTGGTGAAAGTTAATGACAATAAAGTTGATATCGACTATAGGCAGGGTGTAGGGATAACTTAAAGCTGGTGATTGATTGATTGATTGATTGATTGATTGTTATAGCAGAAAATAAATATCAACCGTTTTAATGTCAAATATTTGATAATGTCCTTTTCCTTTTTTATACTCATTAAATATTTTTTACTCTAAAATTCATTGATTTTTCAAGGAGTATGAAATAGAAGGGAGATAGAACTGACGCGGCCCGCCCTACCATATGATTATACATGCTTTGCAGACGGGTCCTCCATTTGTATAAGAACTATTCAGAATAGGTAATTGTACATCAGATAAATATTTCTTATTCAAATTAAGTACCGTCTGCAAAGCATGTATAATCATATAGTAAGGCGGGCCGCGTCAGTTGCATCTTCTATTCCATACTCCTTGATTTTACCTCAAAGTTCATTGATTTTTCCCTAAAAATCATTGAATTTCCCTTATTCAGCAAATAAACCTCTAAAAAAATTGCCCCTCCGTGCAAGCTTCCGGGGAAAAAAACGATTTTCAAAAGGGAGGGGCGGACGAGAAATGATTTTCCTTTTTTCTGTACTGGTTCACTATGTACATAGAGCACTGTAATGAATGAAATTTAATCTCTTAATAAATAAATCCCTAAACGCTGATCCATTCAGGATACAAAATAATGATCTGATCTTTCATACAGTACACAGGCATGAACTTCCGGTCACAGATATCAGGTATTAACATTAACTTCCGGTAATATTAATTAACTTCCGGTAATATTCATTAACTTCCGGTTTCTTAAATCAGGTACTTATCAGGTTTTATATTTTTACAAACACAAATATTTATGAAACATCTGTTTCTCTTCAAATTGAACAGGGAATAGACTAAGCTTTTCTCTTATCTTTTAAATTTATTTTTGTTTAGAATAGATATTGTTCATGACGATGATGATTATCTAGTAGTAGATAAACCTCCCTCTATTCCTGTTCATCCTTGTGGGCGTTATAGGTTAGTATATATATATATTATATACATATGCTACTGAAGAATGTCCAACATGAAACACAGTGTCCAACAATAACCAATCTTTATAAACAATAAACTAGACTTTAAAGAAGATATATTGACCGATTTGTCTCAAACTTGGGAGAGCTGCATTGATGTCCATACAATCTTTATAGAACATGTTCTAGACTTTTTAAAGAAGATATATATATATAGAAATATATATCATATCTGTTTTTTGGTCTGTTTGTTTGTCGGATTATAACTCTTAACCCCTTGACCGATTAGCCTCAAACTTGAGAGAACTTCAGTAATGTTCTTAGCTTGGTTTTGAGATTCTAGATTGAGTGGGTCCAATTGTATAGTGGAAAATAGCTAAAATCGCATCAATGACGGGTAAACGGCGGTAGTAACTATGACTCCCCTGGGCAACGCTGGGTTCCCAATTTTAGAATTATCGAAGATCTGGGTTATCTTTTTGTCTCCTTATTTTTCGAAATAAAAAAAATCGATTAGTTGTTGAGGAAATTTTTTTACCAAAAAAAAAAACAACAAACCAGCCAAATACTTTTATACATTGAAGGATGGTTAAATCTATTTTGAGATATTTAAGATTTTATGATAATTCATTATTTAGATAATCTATTTTTTTAGGCATAACACATTACTGTTTATACTTGCTAAGGTAAATTACTTTTTATTTACTATAGCCGAGGATTTACCAGAGCCCGCGATTTAAAACATTCTGGTAAATAAGACTCAGGTCTAAGCTGTCATTCAGACTAATTTAAGACTCGAGCTTTGAGATCTCAGATGCAACTAATTTTTCATTGAGTTTGGTTTATCAAAAAGGTTTAATTTTCATAGTTGAGACTAATTCTCCACTAAAACCAACCAAGGTCGGTTTTATTTTCATTGTGCCTAAATCCTTAAGTCGTGTCTAAGAGCTGGCAGCTGTCGATCACGTGACACAAGCTGTCGCTAGCTGATTTATAAGTTTGGTCTAAAATTGAGCCTTAAACCTGTGTCTAGGAAATATAGACTCGAGCCAAAGCTTTTAAATCGCGGGCTCAGGGAGAATTGCCAACTTTACCGGGAATTTACTTGTCCAAGTGTTATCGAGGCAAAGTCGTAAAAAAGCCGTGAAAACACAAGAAAGTTTTTCGATGAAGTGTGGTTCTGCCGAAAGAAACTCTCGCTTTTAGTGAATAGTAAAAAGTACAAGATTTTACCAGAACTGTTCGTACATAAACCTCCTATTTTAGCATATTTTTGTAATACTATTTGTTGACAAATGTTGAAACAAATTTGAACTACACATAATATATTTATGTATATGTTAATCTTTGTGTGTGAATAATAATATTAACTATAGGAGTATGGATATACTAACCTTCACACTGTACATAGACTTGATAGGCTAACCTCAGGTAGAAATATTACTCTTACAGTGAAAAACCATTAAATTGGTGAGTGGAATAGAAAGACGACTTTTTAGCAATATTAAACGTATGTAATGGGATTTTATTGGCTGAACACTCACAGTTCATGTGTTTCTTATCATTGGACTGCTTCCTGTTAAAGTGTTTAAAATCATAACTTGAGTCTAAAAGTCGTCTTACTATCCCACTGTATTAGGTTCTCACTGTAAATAAAACAATATTTGTATTTTCCCAAAAATAACTCTCTGGATCCTAAACCCGAATTTAAAGAATTTGAGCCGCGGCTTAAATTTAAGACGCGGCTCAAATATGGTTGGTTTCACTTTAAATTGTATTTAATGTTTCAAGAATTAAGCCGGCGTTCAATTGAACCCGGTTTTTGGCGGATTTGAGACGCGGCTTAAATTCATTAAATTCTGACTCTGCCTACATTTTTTTACCTATTTTTCTTACAGTCTTATTCTTTCTTTTAGTCATGAATCATATTGTATAATCGAGCCAAGATCCAAGAACTGTTATATTAATTCTTTTTTTGTAATATTAAAATCGAAACTGTATCGTTTTGACGTCACTGTAAAATGTAAACAACAATGCTTCTTTTAAACTATAGTTTATCCGTCTGTTTACCAATCTATCTTTTTATTTATTTACCTTTCTATCATCTATCTCCGTAGGTGTGCTAATGTTTGCAAAAAATTCGCACAAATCCAGAGATATGGAGACTATGATAAGTGGCAGGTTAGTAGGCGGGCCAATAAGAAAAAAAAGTAAAAAAACAACAATTTTAGAATAATAGTAATTTTTAAGGAGAAGAACTTTTTATAGCATTGATATAAAATTGTGTATCCAAAAAACGTAAATTTTTTTACTTCAAAAATCAAAATGTTTTTTTTAAAATTTATATAAACCGTGTAGACGGGAAGTTAATTACAATATTGATTTATGCATGTACAGAGGGGAGTACTTGTGCCGTGTACACGGAAAGTTACTCACAACATTTATGCATGTACAGAAGGATTACATATGCCGTGTACACCAGGGGTTCTGTATAATATTTATGCATGTACATAAGAACTATATTATGCCTTGTACACGGGGAGTTATGTACATTATTTATGCATGTAAAGGAGTATATATGCTGTGTACACGGGGAGTTCTGTATAATATTTATGCATGTACAGAAGGATTACATATGCCGTGTACACCGGGGGTTCTGTACAATATTTATGCATGTACAGAAGGATTACATATGCAGTGTACACCGGGGGTTCTGTACATTATTTATGCATGTACAGAAGGAGTACAAATTTCGTGAACACGGGGAGTTATGTATATTGGTTATGCATTTACAGTAGAAGTATATATGTACATAGGAAGTTATTTACGATATTTTAGGCATTTATAGAAGACGTACATATATGCCGTGTACACGCTACACGGGGAGGTCTGTACATTATTTATGCATATACAGATTGAATATATATGCCGTGTACATGGGGAGTTCTGTACATTAGTCATGCATGTACAGAAGGAGTACATATGTCGTGTACACGGGAAGTTATGTACAATATTTTAGGCATGTACAGAAGGAGTACATATGCCGTGTACACGGTGAGTTTCCTGATGAAGAAGTTATCTGTGATCAACCAATAGAAGTTATCAAGTAAACAACATCTTTTTTTCAAAGCTTTAGGGGGGGAGGCGGTTCATATTTTTATATATGGGAAGGTTGGATTTGCAACGTGACAAACCAAATTTTTACTTCTTAATATTTTAATTTAACTCACTTTTGAACAGTTGCACAACCCTGCCCTTTAAACTTTCATCTAAGTATCAATGAGAAAATAATTCGTTTTTCTCTTTGATAAGTGTTGAATTCTGTCGAATTCCTTATTTTTACACAAACTCCAAAATTGCAAATTATAATTTTTTAAACAAGTCTATCTACATTTTAGATGAAGGTTTAAATTTAGGATCACAGTCCATTTAAACGAATATTTTTTATTTTTATGATTTTCAGTTTTAAGATCGGAGTGTGCATTGTATCTAAAGACGGAAAGGAAAGCAGAACAGTCTTTAAAAGACTTCAGTACAAAGGTATGTGTACAGTGTACACTGTACATAGTGTAATTTTTAGGGACGAGATATGTACATTAGAGTAACACACGAAGGGGGTTAAACTAATTTTTTTGGGTGGTGTACATAGGTTGTATGGTAGATGTGGTGAAAAATGTACATTATGTGAAAACTTTATGTTGATCAGAGCAGTACATGAGGTGGAAGTCGTTGTTTTCCATTTTTTGGTAAAACCGTGATTTTTTATGGAGGTCAATGACCTCCGGTACCAAATTTTCTTTTTGATCCGACAAGATGGTTACAATTGAAGGCTGAATGCAAAAGTTAAGTCTTTTATTTCAGAATTGCCAACTTTACCGGGAATTTACTTGTCCAAGTGTTATCGAGGCAAAGTCGTAAAAAAGCCGTGAAAACACAAGAAAGTTTTTCGATGAAGTGTGGTTCTGCCGAAAGAAACTCTCGCTTTTAGTGAATAGTAAAAAGTACAAGATTTTACCAGAACTGTTCGTACATAAACCTCCTATTTTAGCATATTTTTGTAATACTATTTGTTGACAAATGTTGAAACAAATTTGAACTACACATAATATATTTATGTATATGTTAATCTTTGTGTGTGAATAATAATATTAACTATAGGAGTATGGATATACTAACCTTCACACTGTACATAGACTTGATAGGCTAACCTCAGGTAGAAATATTACTCTTACAGTGAAAAACCATTAAATTGGTGAGTGGAATAGAAAGACGACTTTTTAGCAATATTAAACGTATGTAATGGGATTTTATTGGCTGAACACTCACAGTTCATGTGTTTCTTATCATTGGACTGCTTCCTGTTAAAGTGTTTAAAATCATAACTTGAGTCTAAAAGTCGTCTTACTATCCCACTGTATTAGGTTCTCACTGTAAATAAAACAATATTTGTATTTTCCCAAAAATAACTCTCTGGATCCTAAACCCGAATTTAAAGAATTTGAGCCGCGGCTTAAATTTAAGACGCGGCTCAAATATGGTTGGTTTCACTTTAAATTGTATTTAATGTTTCAAGAATTAAGCCGTGAAACTATACTTGCACCTAAGTTAAATAAGTTAGAGCAAAAGATTTTTTTGCATTTCAATACTAAGGGTTAGATTTTTTCACTTTTACTTTATCTTGTTTAAATATACGTAGTTGCATAGTAACATACAGTGTCTTTCTAATGGTTTGCCTTTTTTAAATCGCTCTATTTTAAAACAAGAAAAGAGAGACAAGAGAAAACATATTAATGATCTCTATTCCTGATCCCTTAGTACTTGCTTGAACTCTACTCAAATTGAGCTCCATTCTTTTTAGAACAGGCCAGTGCACTTTAAGTGCTCGGCACCGTGGGTGATGAACAGCGTTCTTTACATCTTCTTGATTACAGAGACTCTGCAAAAGACTCCACACTATGTTTCAGGTCGTCAATATCTGTATGAGGACCCCTTTTAAACTGTGCTAATGGAGTGGTTAAAAGATTAGTTAAACAACAGAATTATCAGCCGAATGATAGATAATCCCTGGCCAGCAAAGAGTCCAGATTTGTCGCCTTGGACTACTGGTTCTAGAATATTGCATTAGAAGAGCTTAGAAGGGTCATACAGATATAGACGATCTGAAACAGACTGTGAAGCACGTGGAGCCCTTTGCAGAGTCTCTAGAATCAGAAGATGTGAAGAAAGCTGTTCATCACCTACGGTACCGAGCACTAAAAGTGCACTGCAGTCTGTTCTCAGAAGAATGAAGCTCAATTTGAGCAGAGCTTGAGCAAGCACAAAAAAGTGTTATCTCCAATGTTCCAACCTGTAGAATTCAAAAATAAAAGATTCAAACAAATTTGAGGGAAATCGGTCCAGGGGTTCCTGAGTTATGGTTGGACAAACAAACAGAGATTACAATTTTCTAAAAGATTTATTTGTAAAACAACCTTTCCTTTTATTTTTAGCAGCCAGATTCTTTTTGTATTTACAATAATAAATAACAAAAACTGTTTTCCTTTCCCTGGCAGAGGTGCGTACTGCTTGTCTAAAAATGCTAACATGTTTAGCAATTTCATGTCTCCTTACATACGCGGGCAAAATGCACTGAATCCTAAAAAAATTCACCGTCAGATATGATCCACTAAAACCCACGTAGACAAGGTTAAGTGGTTGGAGCTCAACGTAACATAGCCTACAGGACATGATACTTTGGCTACAGGAACTCCCAGGAACTCCCAGGAACTCCCAGTAACTCCCAGTATCTCCCAGTAAATGCACTAGTCCAGGCGCTGTTTGTGTGCAGTGGGGAGGTGACTTCTGTCACTGGCCAAGACCTCGATGTCTCGATCACACTAGACTTGAGTCATAATCGGATATACATTAATTTCCACTCTTTGGTGGTTATTTTTGATGGGGTCTCGGCCTTGATTTCCACGGAATGATGGTTGATCTTTTATTTATTTATTTATTTGGCTGTAGGTTGAATATTAATGATTAATAATAATCTATGTTTAGATGGTGTAAGTATAGTATCCTGTAAACCAAAGACCGGAAGAATGCATCAAATTCGGGTTCATCTTCAATATCTAGGGTTGGTATTTCCGATATTTTCTTAGTTTCTGACTTCTAGACACCCTGCCCCCCCCCCAAAAATGAACAACAATGATATAGAGGACAATATTCTCTTAGATTTGTGTACATTAAGAAAGAAAAATTATTCAATAATATAGACATTTTTCTTATCGGTCCTAGCCGCGGCATTCAGGTCAGAAATTGTCATAGCCTAAGATATCAATGATGTCGACATTTTGATATGGGGTGGGGTCCAAATAAACATTTTTTTCTAAATGTTTTAAAATTTAAGAGCTGGTCTGATGTAAAACCTCAAACATTTTTCCCCCAAAATTTTTTTTTACACAAATGTGGAATTTTAAAATCGTTAAATTTTTAATATATTTTCTTTCATTTATGTACAGATCGTACATTTTACAATAAATTTATACAGTTTTTTATGTCCACTGTACAACAGTCATATTTTTAGTTATGTACACGCTGTATAGGTTTCGTATATCCAGCTACCCACAGTACAACAGTGATATATTTATTTATTAAGAACACACTGTACAGATTTTCAATATCCAAAGATCCCCTGTACAGCAGATATATATTTATTTATGTACACTGTACGGGTTTCTTATAACCAACGATCCGCTTTACAGTAGTGATTTATTTATATATGTACACTGTACAGTTTCCTATATCCAATGATACGCCGTACAACAGTGATATATTTATCTATGTACACTGTACAGTTTCTTATATCCAATGATACGCTGTACAACAGTGACATATTTATCTGTGTACACTTTACAGGTTTCCTATGTCCAATGATCCGCTGTATAATAGTGATATATTTATCTATGTACACTGTACAGGTTTCCTATATCCAATGATCCGCTTTACAATAGTGATATATTTATCTATGTACACTGTACAGTTTTCTATATCCAATGGTCCGCTTTACAATAGTGGTATATTATCTATGTACACTGTACAGGTTTCCTATATCCAATGATCCACTTTACAATAGTGATATATTTATCTATGTACACTGTACAGTTTTCTATATCCAATGATCCGCTTTACAATAGTGATATATTTATCTATGTACACTGTACATTTTTCTATATCCAATGATCCGCTTTACAATAGTGATATATTATCTATGTACACTGTACTGGTTTCCTATATCCAATGATACGCTGTACAACAGTGATATATTTATCTATGTACACTGTACAGGTTTCCTATATCCAATGATCCGCTGTACAACAGCGATATATTCGGAGCTGAGAAAGGGAAAGGAGGTCTTCTCACAAAAACAAAGGAGCGTTTTCAAATGGAGTTTAGGAAATAGAAAAAAAAAATATAAATATTGCTAAGAGGGGATAGGTAGTAGATTCAGAAAAGATTTTTTTTGAAAATTGTATCGTAGGATAAACTGATGGAGGATCTGATGAAGAGGCACACTGTGGACACCTGGATGCAGAGTGATGAGTATATCAACTCCAGGATACAGGGGGAGGAGGAGAACGTCAATTATGATGATGGTTGTGATGATGATGATGATGGTGGTAAACTTGGTGATTCTGTTGAAGAAGGTGAAGGATTGTTCAATATTCAGTTTTCCTTGTTAGGATTTTCTGAAAGTTTTATAAATACATTAATTACGCAAAAAATGTAAAAAAGCTGGTTCACGCTTTTTGAAAGTAACTATTTGAGAATGATAAATATAAATGCTTTACCATCGATTCGCATATTTAATTCAGGAAACATTAGTTCCAAAACTAACACTTGGACCATGGGCACAAATTGAAAGACTGGGTTTTTAGGATCCCGGCCCATATCCAGAGTAAAAGTTGATAGTAAAAACTATTACCAACATTTTATTAAACATGACGAGGACAACAATTCCCAATTTTAAACTTTTTATTTAAATCAAAATTATAATTGGAGTTCTTTTATGTTAAATCTCTTGACCGTTTTCAAGACAATGTTAGGTTTTCTATTTTTCGAATATATCCTGAATTTTAAACATTGTCGCGTTTTCGAGACAACCCCCACTTTGAATATAATCCTCTATTCAAAACAAAACTCACTTTCATAACATGAGCTGAAATCCGGTAATTGTCTCAAAACCAGGATATGAGCTGAAAAACTAATTCTCACACCTTATTATAAGTGTAAAATTGACATTTTATGTTTCAATATATAGTTTTAGCCATTTTTTATAAATATATGGTGTAATTTGGTTCTACTCGACTTGGGTTTAAAGATATATACTCTTGAAAAAGATAACTTTGCAGTTGCGGGTTAGAAATGGGCCAAGTGTTAGTTTTGGAACTAATATCCTTTGTAATTAGTTTTTTAATACTTTTTGACCAGTATTACCGACCTATGATACCCTAATATTTACTTCTTAGGGAAATTAATAATTTTACTTAACCACGGGTTCCCTTAACCAATTTTGCCTACAAAAAATACCTTGATGCCGCCAACTTAAGTAAAATTACCTTAACTTCTCTGTCGTCAAATCAAACAATATCATTTTGTAGGTTATATTTGACAAAACGTTCAATTAAAAATAAACTCATAAAAGGTGTTCCAATAAAAGAGCAGCAGTGTACGGATGACCTTGTAGAGAATGCTGCAGAAACCCCTATTCTTGAAGAAGAGAAAAAAGGTGCTAAGATTAGTAGAGCTAAAGATGGATCAAGTTTAGAAGACGAGGTGGACGAATTCTGTTTGGATTGTAAAAGAACTTTCAAGGTTGGCTTTATTCTCATGTTTTGTAAATTTTTACGTTTTTCAACATTTATCGAGATAATATATTGTACTTACCCCCATTTACAAATTTCAGTTATTTGTAACATTTTGGCGATTTTAGTGAACACAACTATACGGGATTAATCTCATGAGAAAAATTTAAGGACAATTTTTCTAAATTTTTTAAGACTACATTCATTTATTTTAACCTTGTTAAGTTTTTCAGGTAACAAAATGTAAATGTTTCGCCTATGGCGCGCCCCTTACTTATCTATTTAGGCTATTTTTACTTTTGTGCCCCCCGCCCCTCTAGAAATGCATAGCTACGGCCTGTTTTCTCTTCTGAAATCAAGGCAAATTTGAATCCAAAAATTTTACCTGGGGTCATGTGAGTTCCCGATCTGTTAAGTTGTTTTTACGTTATTCGCTACAAACAAATAGACAGACAGAGTATATTAATATAATAAATATACCTTCATTATTCTATAAATGATGAATTGCCTTATATTGTTTCTGCTTTCTTATATGCATTGAGAAAGCTGAGAAAGCTTGTAAACCAATATATTTCAAATATTGGGAGTATATATAATATATATATTGGGAGTATATAAACGATCGTCAAAATTCTCGTTACGCACAAGAATAAATTATTATTTATATTTTTATTCTTTGGTAAATTTTGATACAACTTTTAATGCAAATATATTTTGACTATTTTTTTCATTGTCTCTTAAGAGATTGCCGTTACAATTTTGAGTAACCTTTTATTCAAGTAGATTTATGTCAATTCACAACGATATCATTGAAAGCTTATTCTGATTAATAATGTGGAAGACAGCCTCTTGTTTTTGCTAAAAAAAGCGTTCGATTCTGTAAATTTCTGTTTCTGAAGCTAGAAATGTGCAAGTAACTGTTTTTCGTTTTAGCATATAAATAAACAGTTTTCTAACATTAAAACATGAAATCGTATTCATACTTAATCAGGAAAAGCTTCTGTTACTGAATACGGTTAATAAATACTATTACTAAATTCTGTTACTGAATACTGTTACTGTTACTAAGTACTGTTACTAATTCTAAATACTGTTACTGAATACTGTTTAATGTATACTGTTACTGTTACTAAATACTGTTACTGAACTCTGTTACTGAATACTGTTTTTAAATACTATTATTGAATAATGTTTTTAAATACTATTACTGAATACTGTTACTGAATACTGTTACTGAATTCTGTTACTGAATACTGTTTTTAAATACTATTACTATATAATGTTACTAAATACTGTTACTGAATACTTTACTGAATACTTTACTGAATACTGTTAATAATTACTGTTAATAAATACTGTTACTGAATACTGTTACTGAATACTGTTACTGAATACTGTTACTAAATACTGTTACTGAATACTGTTACTGAATACTGTTTATGAATAATGACACTGTTATTGATATTGCTAATGAATACTATTTTTACATCTGATTCCTGGCCAAGTGGCAAATGAGAAACCTTAAAACTGTTATTATTTAGGATCCTCCGAAGGATACCCTGTTTATTTATCTTCACTCAATGAGGTACAGTGGAGAGGGTTGGGAGTACAAAACCAAGCTTCCCTCTTGGGCAACCATTTAAAGGGAAAGTGCACCAAAACTGTGATTTAAAGTAAACAAAAATAACATTTTTTCAGAAATCTTTAAAATGGGTCTAAATGAAGATTTTGAGGCAGCTGTTGATAGCATCAGGTAGATTAAAGGACATTTTGGGGGAATTTTAAGCCCCCCCGCCCCCTCCCTGTCCTTATTTACTTTGAATAGATCTGAATTTTATTTGAATTATTTTTTATCATGGTATTAAAGGTCATGCAATGCATACTGGGAGATGTAGAAATTCAAAGAACATTTTGGAACTATGATATTAATATTAGCTTGGGAACCCAGCTTTGCCTGGGAACTGAGTATTACCTTGTAAAAGTAAACATACTTAACTTAAAATGTTCCAACCAAGTTAAGCACATTCCTGTGATTCTACCGAATTCTCCAGATCGAAAACATACCAACAATCCAACTTCGAAATTTTAAAGCTAAGACCAATCTAAAAAAAACAGATGTTAAACGATATTTTTCTCCACACCTTGTTTGAATATCTATTAAGTAACTTTAGGTCGGAATCCATGATTTGAATAAGGAAAAGTAGCTGATGTTGCTTGTAAGTGGTAGTTTAACTTTTCTTAGTTCAACTACTTCGTGAAATTCGTTAATCATAAACTCTCATTGTTCTGCATGCTGTACAGTAAAAAGTAACGTAAATAAATAATTAATCATGGGCTTTTATGTCGTTTTCCGGTTCTGGTAAATTAAGGCCATGTACCATGTACAATTTACAGTGTACAATATGTTGCACAGTATTCTTTCAATGCAGGTTTTCTGTTTTCTCGGGGTTAATTTTTAAATATAAACTTCGGTAAAAAAGCATCCAATACCTGGCCATTCATTTCAAGGGTTAATAGATACAAATAAAAAAACTTATTTTTCCTTCAAACAGGCTTTTTGTTTTCATAGGGTTAATTTTAAAATACAATATTTGGTAAAAAAAATTCATCTTTTTATGCCGCCTAATAAGGGACACGCTGACAAATCTTAATTCCAGTATGTCATTATCAGTCTCATGGTGTCTTAAAATCTATATTTTTATTGTATATTTCTGTAAAATACAATATTACAGGGTTACTCACAAAGAATGAGACTGTTAAGGCGACCGAAAACTTTTAAATTATGACGATTTCATGGTAAAATCAGGTTTTCTGCCTTAAATATAGTCTTTTTTATGGCTTATTTAAGGATTTGACAAATAAAGAAACAAGTTTACGGATGAAATGAGTCATGAATGTAAGGAAACAGACAGTGTAAATTCCGTCTCTTAAGCATCATACTTTGTGAGTATCTTTGTATGTATATGGTAAGAAAGTCACTTTCCTAAGACAAGAAAGGCCGTCCATTGATAATGATACACTTCGGTGGCAAGGAGCTTCTACCCCTATTTCATTAAATGCTGGGTTGTCTCCTAATAATAATAAAATTTACATCAATACCAAGCCCTTTGAGATCTTTATCTCTATATATTTGTAACGTCTTAACGGCTGAACGGATCGGGTCAAAATATTTCTTGTGGGACCTTTCGTGAACCCAGGGAAGGGTTAGGATGCTAAGAATTTCAAACATTTTTGTCCAAAAATTTTAGATTTAAAAAAAAATTAAATCCACGAAAAAAATATTATTAAATCCGCGAACTTTTTTTTTATAAAGTAAAGAGAAGATGCTCAAAGATAGAGTCACAATTAAAAGTTGAAATTCAAAATTATTAAATTTATATTTTAGCAACAAAGTGAACAAAACGATGTCTGATGATGAACTTAAGGAAACCATTCACATTAAAGGGATTATTAAGTATTTTTTACTTGGCTTAAAGGGATTGTTGTATATTTTTCACTTGGTTTTAAGGTAGTGGGAATTGTATAGTCTTTTTTTAAAGTTTAAGGCGCGCCATGGATCGGGTCTGAAATAGAATTTACTACTACATTTCTTTTCAAGAGAATGAAATAATTTCGAAAGATGTAGTTTTGGGAGATTCATCTATGTGACTGGTGTACTGTACGGTTTACAGGAGATTTACTCCTTGTACAAGCAGGCAACAGTAGGAGATGTAAACACGGACAGGCCTGGCATGCTTGACTTCAAGGTTAGGGATTTAGAATTGAAAATATTGATAGGTATTCTCGAACGTTGATAATTCATTTTCAACTCGATTAAGGGATTGGTTCAACCTAAGTAGAAAGTTTATCGTTCTCATGGTCGGCGATTATATCAATACAATAAAGACGACTTTTATTAAGAGTGCTTTGATCCCTAACTTGCATTTATCAAATTACAAGTTTACAAGTAAACAAAGAGAAGCTGTTAGTTGACAACTTCTCCGTTATTTGCGGTTTGGAGCATCATTATTACTGATTTTTATTTTAGATTTATTTTTATATTTTATGATTTAAGGGCAAAGCTAAGTGGGATGCATGGAGTGGTAAGAAAGGAATATCTCAGGATGACGCTAAGCAGGAAAAATTCAAGTTCTCGTCAATTTTGTTTAATTGGAACTTTTAGTCTGATGTTGGCTTTTCAAATTTTAATGTTTTAATGAAGAACTGAATTATTTTCTAGAAATATGTTGAGTTCGCAGCCCAGATGCTTGAGAAACATGGTGCCCGGGCCTAATAAACAATCAAAATGGCGTCATAATTCACACAAAATGGCGCTAAAATCTTATAAAAATGGCGACAAACTTTTAGATATATTCGCGCATTTATACCATGTCAACATTTTTCAATTCAATAAACACAAGGTCACTTAATCACGCCTTACTGTTTCCTTACAAACTGTGATGCAAGATAATATTTTCAGAAATAAAATGTCTGATCCTAAACTTAAACAGATCAAGATTAAGACCGGGGTTCTCAAGAGAATCGGAAAAGAAAAGCTATCGTACAGGAATAGTTAACTTCTGTCGTGTTTTATGTACCGGCAATTGCCAAGGGTTAAATGTGTCGACTTTAAAAGAAGATACATGCTTATAGACGTTTGGCGTTACACTTAAATTATAATTATTTACAACTACTCAAACCATTCGCACTGATGATTGCATAAAAGCATGAAACAATTTGTTTATGAATAAAATGTTGTAAGAAGATTGTTACGTTTCAACTGATATATATTTTTTATTTTTTTTAGGCTAGTTTTTCTAAAATCTAGTTAACATTTTTAAAGAAAAAATTAAATTTAGTAAAAACTTATTTTTGATTTTTAATGTTAACTATAGAAAGGAAGCAGATCAACAGAAAGCTAAGCTTGAAAAAATGAAGGAATCGAGAAATAATTATTTTTCAAAACCATCATTTCCATTCTTCTTTATTTGGATTTTTTGTTATTCTTTTTAACGTTCTTTGTTTTTCTAATTGCATTCAATGACAAACTAAGTTATCAGTATGCGACGATTTTATTTTTAGCAATTTTTACTATTTTTTCATTTTAAATAGATTTTTTAAGATTATTACAAAATTTTACAAAATTATTTTGAAAGCATTACAAAATTCCAATTTTTCCCACATAGGGATTCTTGGACCCCCAGGACCCCGAAAACCTCAAGTTGGAAACAGCACCCCAATATTTATTTTTGATATTTTCAAAATGATTGGTATTAGAAATAGTCTGTATATTCTTCTTATCTATTCATTGGTTCATAATTTTGCTAATCTCGGCTTCTTTTTTAATTCTGTCTGATATTTCTGGTTTGTTGCAAGGAAGTTTGTTCATTATATGGTTCTGAATTCAATTTCTCAGCTGCTGAAACTAACCATGCAACGATTTTATAATCATCTAATATTATTGATTCCAGAATTATTTTCTCCAAACTCGGGAACTAAACAAAGTCAAAAATAAGATTTTCCAGTTTTCTTCTCAATGAATTCTTTTTTCTTTAAATTTAGTAAAAATTTATTTTTTAATTTTCTTGTTTAAAATTTTAAAATTTAATTAGAAATGACAACATTTCATTTTCTTATGTAAAGAAATTTGTTGATCCAGGAGGAAGGAAAGGACAGTCATGACATCAAGAAGATGGGGGAGGTCGTCCAGGTTAGTTACAGTACGGTGCGGTGCAGTGCAGTGCAGTGCAGTGCAGTGCAGTGCAGTGCAGTGCAGTGCAGTGCGGTGCGGTGCGGTGCAGTGCAGTGCAGCATAAAAATTAAATAATGTAATCAAAATACGAAAATGTACAAGAATAAAGTAGTAAAAAATTATTTCGTTCAGACTTATTTCCTTCACTATATAATACATATATATTATATATATGTACAGGTCTGGAAACTTATTGTGGATATCTTAATCTTTTGTTAATTTGCAGATTAATCTGATCTTTATTGGATATCCCGGATAGTAATCGAACCCAGTCAGGGGTTGACGGGAGCATAGAACAGAGGAGGATCAAATAACTAAGAAATGGGAAGGTTTTGCTTTTTATAGATCCTCAATTTTAAAGTTCCCACAGTGAATATTGATGATCTGAATTATGAGAATTCAATACGATAGCTCTCAGATCAGTGCACGCACGTTGCGCTCTATTGATAATGTTTTTGTTGAAGGAGTCCCTAATGATGATTCCTGACTGCCACAGGCGTCTAATTACCGCACATGCAGATCTTATGAGCCTTCTGGAACAAGAGGTAATTAATCAATCAATGAAAGGGATTGCTCTGTCATTTGAGTAATGTTTGAGGTATCAATTATGAAAGAAACTGAAAAATACTAGTTTTTTCGTTAATTTAAGTTTTTTTCATCCTTTTGTCCTATTGTATTTGGAAGCTGATCATTTCCACTTTTTTATAAGATTTGATTTGGTTTGATTTGGTTTGGTTTGGTTATAAAGCTTACTTTTAGCATTACAAACTGCAAAGTGCATATCTATCTTAACAAAAATTTGTTTGATTGTCTGTAATCAGTAATCGTCAAAACGGCCTTTCCGAATTTTGTGTGGCAACCGTCCCCCGTGACCCCGCGGAAGGTTTTTGGACTGATTGAAATTTGAGGGGGAAAAGGTTTTCAATTTTTTATTAATGCACCAATTAAAATATAAAAATCCGCGAATGATTAAAAATGGCAGCTTTCAGAGAATTTATTAGAAGCTAAAATTTGTAATACACCTCGTACAGAATAATTACTAATCCAATTAACTATTACTAAAAAAATAATCATATGTGAATTTATTTCTTCGTTTTGATAATGACTAATTACATTTCACACAAAACCTTAATTCTAAACAGTCCTTCTATAAGAATTAAAGTATATAAGCAATTAAGCACACTGGCTTTAGAACCCAGAGGAGTCATAGTTAGTCCCACCGTTTATCCGCCCGGTTGTCGTAAATTACGATTTTAGTAATTTTTCTCGTTAAAAGTGAACCCACTCATTTTAGAATCTTAAACCAAGCTATGGACATGTTTCCTGTGACCTACTATCGAGTTCCCCAATAAAAAATGGAGGCAAATCGGTCCAGTGGTTCCAGAGTTATGATCGGACAAACAAATAGACACAGATTACAACTTTATATATCAGCGTGCCCCATGTTTCAGCCCGACTTTCCACAAATAACTATCAGGCTAATATTGTTCTCTATGATGTCAGTTATCACACGAATTTTTTTTAGACCATTTTGAAGGAGGCCCGTGCAGATCGCAAAAAAGTGTACATAGCTCAAACATATTTCTTGAATTTATTATGGCATATATCATGTTATAAAAAGATTAAATCCGTTGAAAATTTAGAAAAATTTCAAAAATTCACCAAAAAACACGTCAAAATGCTAGTTTTAAAGAAAAGCACTGACACCATAGAGAACAATATTAGCCTGGGAGTTATTTGTGACAATATTTCTATGTTTTGTTGCAAAAAGTATAGATTATATAGATAGTTACTGAAGAAAAAAATCATAAGTTATGATTATCATTAAGTTGAAGACAACCTGAAACCTTAAAGGGACTAAAAACGTAATTTCCAGTAACCCTCCATGCAAAGATGCCAATGCCCGATTCTGGCAACCTTGTTACCCTTTTTATCCAATCAATAATGAGAAAGATATTGTCATTCTTCTAGTGTTAAGTTTTGATAATTCCTTTATGTTTCCTACACTAGAAATGCGCATTGCGCAAGGCACGTTTGTAGAGAAACGCGCTTGATAAAAAATAAGTATTCAAAATTTTAAACATTGATATCTAATTCATACAGACAAAGCGTTTAAGGGCACAGTTGTGAATCTGACATTGCAATCTTTGCATTGAGGACAAAAAGTCACTTGAAATTACGCTTACAGTCCCTTTAACAATTTAGTTATTCGAACTAATTCATGTTTCGTCCATATTTATAGATCCATAATATATAAAGTTGTAATCTCTGTTTATTGTCTCTCTGTCTGTCTGTTTGTCCGATCATAACTCGGGGACCCGTACACCGATTTTCCTCAAATTTGGATTAGGGAACTCGGAAGAACCACTGGAATGTTAAAGTTAGGGAAAATTTAGTTTGCCGGTAAATCGACAAAGTTTGAGTAAACGACGGGAGTAACTATGAGTACCCTGGGCAACACTGGGTTCACAATCTAGTTGAACATTTATTTCTTTTTGAAAGATTAAATATTTTTAGAAAGATTTGGCAGAGACTGAAAAATATGTGGCAGCTCAGGCACAGATTCAAGTAAGAATTATTCATTGATCAATTTTCTTCAGGGAAACCAGTAAACAGAATAATGATAGCTGTCTTCCTTCTTTCTTTGTTTGAAGTTTTGCAACAAGTTTTTTTTCAAAAAAAAGTTTACTGAACAGTTTAAACAAAGTAAGTTTTTAAAAAAAGGCCGATGAACATGAGACACAGCAATTCTTGTATAAACAGACTCATTTTACTTAATAGTAAAATCGCTCTTATGTCGTCTTCCTGTTCTATTGTTTTTTGGTTCTCACAGTGGTAAAATAATACGATGTTGTGCATTCTACAGATCGAGAAATCACTTTTAACCAATTTTGATTTTAAGCCATTTTTCCGAAAAAAAGGGGATTGGGGAAATAGTTTTCAGTTAGATGGGAATGGTTTTTATGCCGGGGGAAATAATTTGAAATGAAATTATTGACACCTTTGCTTTAAAAAAACTCTTATTGTATAGGAAGCCGAAGAGCAGATGAAGGCGGAATAGAACCCGCTACCGCTTTCAGTCTTTAGGATCTGAACCCGCTAACCGTGATCTGGAAGAACTCTAATTTTCTCCACCACAACATAACCTTTATCCTTAATTACTCGTATCTTTACGTTACGCTTTGACGATTTATATTTAGTAGGGTTTGCGTATACACGTAGATTGCGTATGCGTGTAGTTGTGAATATTAATTCGTCTGCTATAGACCTGTGGCAAGTTGATTATTAAGTTAATAATATTTGAGACTGTGATACAAAAGTAATTTTATACTGCACATTATGTATTTAATTTTTATTTCAAATAAAGCATCTTTATTATTTTTTTGCATAGCTACAATCAATGTTCTTTTTCAGGGTTAAAAATGTCAAATTTGGTCAAAATCTTGACAAATCGTCGGATTTTGCTCTCTGCTGGAAAATCCGCGAAAATATGTCGTCTTTCTTCAACTGCAGTAGAAACATCAGAACCTGATCATGTGAGTATCATGATATCGTGAGGTTAAGTCTATAGTATTACCCCTAAACCGGCTAGGGGGGGGGGCGTTCGACGCACCCCCTCTAGTTTTTTTTTACACTAGCACTCTTATTACAGTCCGGTCCGTGTAAAAAAAAATCTATAATAGCCTATATGCTTCTTGTGACTAATGCTACAGATTTAAAAACTATATTTTTGAAAACCCTTAAAAAATGGATGTATTAACTTTGTCACATCTTGATATTTGTTTAAAACAAACGATTAATTTTTAAAAATATTTTACTATTTTTTGGCATTTTTCCAACCCTCCCTAGCACCCAAACTGTTCGGTCTATTTTTTTCCAATGATCTGTCTTGAAAAATTGGGCTATGAACAGGAATTTCAACCCTTTACCTATACTCGAAGGCTATACATAGATTCAGACCCCAAAGTCTGTATAGGGTTAAGAAAAAGCATGATGTGCATTCTATTTTTTTGTCTCCCACCCTCTCGTTTAATTTGATTAATTTCGATACTAACATTTTCGGAATTTGTTAATATTTTTAATTTTCTTTTTATATATACATTTATTCAGTTGTTACAAAATCAACTATACACTAATTTCCCATTACCCTCATTTCCCCTTTAAACTTTAAAAGCTGGAAAACTTCAAAAAAAAAACAGAATATTTACCTTAATAATAATAATGATATTATAGAGGACGTGAGTCAGACTCTAAATAACAACGCATAAATAACTTCCAGTATATATATTTCTTATAACTTATTACTAGAGAGTTCAGAACTAGAGTCAATATCGAAATCACACGTGTAGATGTTTTATCAGTACTATGCCCCGTATCCGTTCTATCTCATTCTGTTGAATCTTGTGGAACTAGTTTAACGCGGCCAGGCATCGTCTTCCACAATATGATTGTAAATTGTCCTAAATAACGTAAAAAGGTTTTATTCCCGCTAGCATGGCAGAAAAATGCATTTTCGGAAATTAATTTCCAAAATTTAACTTCGTTATATTTATTTATGTCATTAATGAGTAGTAAAAGATAGACAATAACTTGAAAATAACTTTGTTTGTTTTTTAAATATCAAAATTCAAAACATTTGTAATATTTACACTATGCCAATTTGTGACACTGAGAGAAAAATAAAGAATCAACAATTTGGTTCGTTTTTTTCCTTATATTTTCTCTTGGGTAAAAAATTTAAATAATTTAATAAACTAATAATATTCTAGCTGAAGTGCCCGGCGTTGCCGCGGAATTTATTAAAATCGAATTTTTAAAAAAAGAATTAATTTTTAGCTAAGGCTGGCCAAGCGAATAGTCCAAAATGGCTGAATTTTTTTAGGGAACCCATGAACACCCCGGGGGTTAACATAGGCATAATATGATAATCTTATGAGGAAAAAAATGAAATAATGGAAATTCTTAAACTCGATGAAATAATCTTGATGTATTCTTTAACGAAGGCCGCAGGCCTGAGTTAAAGAATGCATCAAGATTATTTCATCGAGTTTAAGAATTCCATTATTACATTTTTATCCTCATAAGATTATTATTATATCATATTTGTGAGGTTCCATGGGCACATACCCAAGAAATTATAGTAAAAAATAATTCTGGTGAAATCCGACTATTTTAAGTTAGAACATTATGAAAGGTTGCAAGTAAGTTTTATGCTCGTGTTCTGACTATCACTGTTTTTTATTTTTCTAATGTTAAAATGTTTAAAACCATTTTATGTGTAAAAATTGGTTCTTAATTGAAAGTAATGCATGTGGTGTGATTGTTTCCTAAGTTTAGTTTGTTTGTTAACCAATTTCTAATGAATTTGCTTGTTTTTAAGTTGATACTACATTTAGATACAGCATGTTGAATGTGCCCTGAGTTTTTTTAGATGGGGAGAAGGTATTGTAGTGGGTTGTCTTAATCTACTGAAGAAAATCGTGAAATCATTTACAAAAGAAATCATTTCCTAGATATTAGATCCTAAATCTTCCAAAAAGAGGAGATAAAATCAGGTTATCTAGTAAGAATCAGTTCGACATGAACTGATGAAGATCTTTGTCTTTTATTCATTAAGCAAGATTCACTGGTTTGTTTTCATTGCTATGGAGTATGGAGTGCTAAGACCCCACTAAAGGTTGTGACAATAGTATTTCAATGATAAGTTTTTATAAACTAACATTTTTGGTTTTGATTGTGGTTTCACTACATCATCTCGAGCTATGCGAGATATGGTGACTGCTGACTCAGGCTGAGGTACTTTAAAACTTTATAAAGTGGAAAAAAAAAAAAATAATTGAAATTGTGAAGACATGACAAACCTTTCCATTTTTGAAAAGCTCTAACCGTACTATTACAAATATGCAGTGATTTGCAAAATCTCACCAAACTTGGTTTGCAATGAAGAAAAACTAAAAACAAATTGAATAAAGTAGGCAGTCGGGCAGGCAGTATCCTTTGAGACTCGGTAGTTTGATGAAATTGTCCAATGGAAGGCTTTAAGTACATGGTTTATATTTTTTGGAAAGGTCAGAAAATGTTAATTAATCACAGGGGGTTCCAGTCTTCTGTCAGAACTAAGGTTAAGATTTAAATAGAAATTCCTGAATTAAGATATATCAATACTTCAAAAAACGAAAAAGGTAAGTGAAATGAAAAGGTATATGAGCATGTTTTACTAAAGTATAAAAGGTGAGTTTGCATGTTTTAATATTAAAGAAAAAGGTAAGTGACCATGTTATTTTAAAGTATAAAAAGGTAAGTTTGCATGCATTAATGTAAAAGAAAAAGGTAAGATTGCCTTGTGTATGTTGTCAGTACAAAATAATTAAGTTAATATCAATATTGATCTATACTGAAAAGATCAATATAAGGAGCGTGTAAGAATGAATATTCTTTAACTAGTATAATAATTTCCATTCTTTAATGCTCGGAGCGTGTAAGAATACACATTCTTTCACGCTCTGACCATGTAATAATTTCCATTCTTACACGGTCTGAGCGTTAAAGAATGAAAATTCTACACCTACAGTGTAAGAATAAGCATTCTTAAACGCTAGTAAGTGAACAATATTAAAATTGTTCCTCCTGAACCGTGTAATAATGGGAATTCTTACACGATAGGTTTACTACTATGGAACCGAACAGATATGATATAATAAAAAAAGATGCTCCAGCTAGTAACTAGTATTATTCTTATTAGGGTTTACTGCTGTCTGAAAGTGCTGTTAAAAGATTAAAGGAATTGGGAGGAGGAAACTCATGTTTACGGTAAAATTACTTTATCATGTTTTCGGTAAAATTACTTTATCATGTTTACGGTAAAATTACTTTATCATGTTTACGGTAAAAATACTTTATCATGTTTACGGTAAAATTACTTCATGTTTACGGTAAAAATACTTTATCATGTTTACGGTAAAAATACTTTATCATGTTTACGGTATAATACTTTATCATGTTTACGGTAAAATTACTTCATGTTTACGGTAAAAATACTTTATCATGTTTACGGTAAAAATACTTTATCTGAAGTTGCAACTAGATTGTGTTAAACACATTCTATCTATTTAAAATTTTGTGTTGATCATCATAGAATAAATAAGTTAGGTTTCCGTACCAAATTATTTTAAAATATATTTCGGTCTGGTTCATTCTTGTTAGTTCTAACGATAACCATCAAAATCAATTATAAAAATTGTTAAAATATCACAAGAGAAAAAATAGTTTTTTTTTTTAAATGTGTCAGATGGTAAAAAGGAAACGAACTCAGATCATGAAGTGCTAGATAGATCATGATCATAATATGCTATAAAGAGAATCTGCAAATATTTTTCTGTTTATTCCTCCGAGTTCAGTCAAAAAGTTAAAATTTATATTTAAGAAAATATTCATGATATTTCTTTCTAAATAGATTTTGTTGAATCAATATAAACCTTTCTTAATTTCATTTTCTAAGAAATTTATTTGAAACTTTACAAATGTTACTACTGAAATCTACTGAAATCTACTGAAATCTACTGAAATCTACTGAAATCTACTGAAATCTACTGAAATCTACTGAAATCTACTTAAATATACTTAAATATACTTAAATATACTTAAATATACTTAAATCTACTTAAATCTACTTAAATCTACTTAAATCTACTTAAATATATTTAAATCTACTTAAATCTACTAAAATCTATTTAAATCTATTTAAATCTACTGAAATCTACTGAAATCTACTGAAATCTATTTATATCTACTGAAATCTACTGAAATCTACTGAAATCTACTGAAATCTACTGAAATCTACTGAAATCTACTTAAATATACTAAAATATACTTTACTCTACTGAAATCTACTGAAATCTACTTGCATGAAGGGTCACTTGAAATTACGCTTATTGTCCTGTTACAAAATAATATTAATTTAGAATAACTGTGGAAGGTGGAGGATGTTCTGGATTTCAATATAAGGTAGTGAATTACTGGCAATTCTTCGGGAATATGCTTTCCTCCTAGTAATATAGATTTTATTAATTTATTTATTCATTTATTCATTTATTCATTTATTCATTTATTCATTTATTCATTTATTCATTTATTCATTTATTCATTTATTCATTTATTCATTTATTCATTTTCTATTCATTCTAATCATTCTAATCCTTCTAATCATAAATTCTTTGATTGAATGATGTCATATTGTCTCGTATTGATGACAATAAAAGTGATAAAGCGCTCCATTGATTAAATAATGGTTTGAATAGTTTGATCTTGTGGAAGATGCTGTTCCTGCAGAAGATGAAAGAATTATTGATAAAGACGGAGCTAAGGTTGGCATTAATTTCACGCTAAACTAAATTAAAATTCATGCATTAATTTCACGTCAAACTAAAGTAAAATTCATGCATTTATTACACGTTGAACTGAAGTGATTTTCATGCATTTTTTCACGTTGAACTAAAGTGATTTTAATGCATTTTTCACGTTAAACTAAAGTGTTTTCATGCATTCTTTCACGTTGAACTAAAGTGATTTTCATGCATTTATTTCACGTTGAACTAAAGCGATTTTCATGCATTTATTTCACGTTGAACTGAAGGATTTTCATGCATTAATTTCACGCTAAACTAACGGGATTTTCATGATTTAATTTCACGCTAAATTAAAGGGATTTTCATGCATTAATTTCACGCTAAACTAACGGGATTTTCATGCATTAATTTCACGCTAAACTAACGGGATTTTCATGCTTTAATTTCACGCTAAACTAAAGGGATTTTCATGCATTAATTTCATGCTAAACTAAAGTAAAATTCATGCATTTATTTCACGCTAAACTAAAGTAAAATTCATGCATTTATTTCACGTTGAACTGAAGTGATTTTCATGCATTTTTTCACGTCAAACTAAAGTGAATTTCATGCATTTTTTCACGTTCAACTAAAGGGATTTTCATGCATTCTTTCACGTTAAACTAAATTGATTTTCATGCATTTTTTCACGTTCAACTAAAGTGATTTTCATGCTTTCACGTTCACCTCAAGTAAATTCATGCATTTTTTTCACGTTAAGCCAAAGAAAATTTTATTTGATATTATTTCATTTATTTGATAAATAAAGGGTCTGCTATTTTTGTCTGATTGTCCAGGTATTGATTGATGAGACCTCCCTGGAGTATTTGAAGGGGAGCACCGTGGACTACCACAGGGAGTTAATCAGGGCAGCTTTCAGGATAGTCAACAATCCACAGGTAATAAATATATTCATTGGTTTTTTTTATTTCAATCATAAATTAATTAGTTTATTATTATTTCATTATATTTAATATTTAGGCGGACACTGGTTGTTCATGCGGGGCCAGCTTCTCAGTCAAACTTGATCTGTAGTTCTCTACAATGTACAGTATTGTACTGTACTGCTTGTATAGTGTGTACTATAGTTTACTGTACATTCTTGTAATGTGCCGCATCTAGAGTACACTATACATTCTTGTAATGTACCGCATGTAGAGGGTACACAAATATTTACATTCATATTCAATATCCATATATACCCTACAGTACAGTATACTTATAAACCAGTCGCCAGAAAATGGCTGTGAACTAAATTTAAGTCTCTTAATTAAGAAATGAATTTATTGAACTTATTATCATTGAATTGTTAGAAATCTTATTTATTATATTTCAGATAGAATGGAATTAACGTGTGCAGTTCAAGAATATGCCTGGGGGAAACTAGGCCAGAAAAGCCAGGTACACCAGTACAATATTGACACAGGGTGTATATATTTCAGAATTTTTTATGATTTTTTATGATTTGGGGGGAGAGGGGAAAAGAAAAAAGTGGGACATCGAAAGGCAATTTTTTTCATTCTTTTTTATACTTGAACCCAAAAATTTATTTATTTTTCCCTTACAATTTGTTTATTTATTCCTAATTCAGCAAAAAAAAACATTTTTAACGCGCATAATATCTGGGGAAATAATGATTTTCTAGGGTGGGGGGTAAAATTATTTTGAGAAATTTTGAACTTTAATTACAACTATTTTTTTTGTTATTTTGGTTAGGGGTATATAGAGAATATCTGCTTTAAGTTTATAGATTCACTGATTAACTATTTTCATCAATATTTTTATTCAAACAATGTCTCCAGCATATCGTTTGTAAATGTTTTTAAACTACTTAAGATTTCTATATAAATGTTCCCTAATCTTTGGCTAAAAAATATTGGATCTCACTTCCAATTTCGCCCGGGAGGGTATCAAATTTAGTGAATCTTCTGTTAGGCGAGTTAGTCTATGTTCTCCTGATCCAACTGAATCAAACCAAGTATCTCTTGATACATCATCAAAACCATAGATAATCTTGTTTGGTTGCAGCATATCGATATAAGGTCTTCTGTTCTCCAGCTTTTAAGTTTCAGTTCTTTCAGTTTGTCTACCCGACAGCCTGGATATCATATTGACTGCTCGAATATAAGCCCGTTCGTATTGATTAATTGATATGTTGATTGATTCATTCATTCGATAACTGAATAATTCTAATTAAGGTTGCTAAATTTGCTCCTGCTGCCTGTAAGGATTTCATGTTGGATGAGAGCAAACCTTACGCAGGTTTTATCTTAAATATATGTATATATTTAATAATTATAGGGTTTTAAGAACGGAGGTTTCAAATAATTTCTTAAATTTGTTTTTCTGCATTCTCAGCTGAACTACCTTGTCTACTAACCAGACACTCCCTTTAAGCAATTGATAAAAAACAATTCTTAAATCTCTATTTTTGTCTTAAAGCATTAAAATCAGTTGAAGGGGCTGTAGGTAAACGTAATTTTATAAATTGACATGTATGATTCACAACGTTACCTTTTCTTGATAAAAGAAGCTTAAGTTATCCGGTATCTTCTCTTTGAAAATTGTCGTGTTTTTATTGTAGTTTCTGTATAGAGCACATTTCTTAAGGAAATTGCCAGAATAAAACACTTCTATCTTCTACATTATTGATCAGATAAAGGTTTAAAGAATATCGTTATGAATCAGACGTAGAACTCTCTCATTACGGGATAATTGATATTCTTGTATTTGTGTTTTTATCCTCTGATTTGTATCTTCAGTAACACTTGATATAAAGTATACAATCCCTTTTCAAATCCAATATTTAGAACTATGGATTTGTATCTTCAGTAACATTTGATATAAAGTATACAATCCCTTTTCAAATCCAATATTTAGAACTATGGATTTGTATCTTCAGTAACACTTGATATAAAGTATACAATCCCTTTTCAAATCCAATATTTAGAACTATGGATGGGGGTGCATCCCAATGGACCTTCTGTTATTGCTGAGACAGGGGAAACTCTGGCAGAATATATCAGGAAAATTATGCAAAAATTTAACATTCATCATTTATATATATATATATATATAAAGAAGTAACCTCTGTTGTCTGTAATCTGTATGTCCGATTTGCTTGTTGTTAAGATTCTAAGTTGAATGGGTTGACTTTTAAAGGGGGAAAATAGGTAAAATCTTAATTTCAGACTAAGTGCGGGTAAACGGTTTCAGTAATTATGAGTAACCAGGGCAATGCTGGGTTTCCAAACTATTATGCATATAAAGTAGTAATCTCTGTTCTGTGTCAATATGTCCGATCATAACTCATGAACCCCTTGGCTAATTTGCCTTAAATTCTAAGTTGAGTGGGAATTGACTTTTACAGAGATATGAATATGTTCAAGGCAAAACTGGGTTCTCAACCTAGATTTAAATAAAATATTTATTTTTGTGAACTAGTTCAGGCAATTATAATAAATTAATGAAATTTAATTAAATTCGTCGTGAAATATATTTTGGTCATTTGTAAAAATAGATTAACGCTTAAATTTGCATAATTTTTGCAGTAAAAATCCTGACTGTCTCGGGTCCAAAGTTAGCGAAAAGTTCCAAGGACAGCTTCCTTTTCTTTTTAAAGTGCTCAGCGTAAACAAGGTCCTCCTCCTCTTATTTTAATCTTTTTTATTTTATTTTTAATCTTAAATTTTTATCAAGTTTGTGCTTAATAAAATAACGATCTACGGATAATCTTAAGTTACTTATTTTTTTATATTCTTTTTTCTCAGAATTTTTATTAACTTTTTAATGAAAATTGTTTTTATTAAAAGGACTGTAAGCGTAATTTGAAGTGACCCTCCAATGCCTCTTTGATAAGATGTCAATGCCCAATTCACAACGGTACCCTTGAAATCTTTATCTCAACAATAATGTGGAAGATGTCGTTGTTTTTCTAGATTTAACAGTATTCAATTTAGATAATTTCTCATATGTTTTCCTTCAGTTATAGAAATGTATGATGAAGGGTGGCTTGAAATTATCTAGAGTCCCTTTAATTAAAATGTTGTTTAGGCGCTGTCTATTCAAGCGCATCCTGCTAAGGAGCATGCTGAAAGCCTGCATGCCACGCGCCCAGACGTTTACAAGGTTTTTTTTAAGATAATTATATTCTTTTAATAGACTTTAATGATGACTTCCATCAAGTGAAAATTACTTATTTTGCAATTGAAGTTTGAAAATAAACATAAAAAAATTAGACATTATTTAGTGCCATAAATCATTCTTTAAGTATATGTATGAAAAAAATGTATCTTTGATAATCCCCTCTTGAATTTACTATTTGTATCTGCATATTTCTGAAAGATATATTAGTCGGAAAAAATGGTAAAAAGAGAACATGTATTATATATTTTCTTTAGGATCCGAATCATAAACCTGAAATTGCGATTGCTCTAACTGAATTCGAAGGATTATGTGGCTTCCGACCCCTAGAAGGTATGTTTGGTATGGTTATATATATTCCGACCCCTAGAAGGTATGTTTGGTATGGTTCTATATATTCCGACCCCTAGTAGGTATGTTTGGTATGGTTCTATATATTCCGACCCCTAGAAGGTATGTTTGGTATGGTTCTATATATTCCGACCCCTAGAAGGTATGTTTGGTATGGTTATATATATTCCGACCCCTAGAAGGTATGTTTGGTATGGTTATATATATATATGTCATTTATTTCTCGTGACTTTTCTTTTCCGATTCACAATTGTACCCCTTAATGAATAAATGATAAATTCATACTATTTTATTTAAACATTTGGTTAATGTTTTAATTCTGATTTAAGACTATTTTATTTTGTGATCAATTTATAATAGTTTTAACAATGAGAAACGAATCCTAACTTGAGCCAGATGGGATATTGTTGTTATGATTAGAATTCGATTGTATTTTTTATTTTTTTTTGTTTGTTAAAGAATTTAGTGCAGTATTGTACAAATAAAAAATTGGTCGATTTTACTTCATTTGACTTATTGATGAATACTGAATAGATTTAATTATTCAGAGATTCAAGGTTTTTTGTCCAAACTGCCTGAGTTACAAAACTGTCTGGGAGACAAGGCCTGTAAGGTAAAAATATATTTTTTTTATTCCAGAAAATTGTGGGTTTTTTGAGAATTTTTTTTTTTCGAGAAAAAAAAAAGGAATTTATTTGTTGGCAATTAATTTTAATTTCTAGACATTCTTCATTTTCTTAATTAGGGGTGATTTTTAGGGGTGAGTGAAACTTCCAGAGCGCTTAGCTCAAAAATTGTTTTTTTTCATGCTCACCCCTTAAAGATATCTTGTTCGACCCTTAATAGAATATATTTAACTATTTGGATTTTGTAGTTTCAGAATTTTCTCACTATTTCGTAGGTTTCAGGGGTGAGAAATATACCTTCAGGGGTGAGCGGCCATGAAGCGGCTCACTCCTGTATCCGCCCCTGTTAGATGAAAATGTAAATTCAATTCAATTTATTTCGCGTAAATACATTTTAAAACGGTAATGAATGAACACAAGAATTCTATTTAGGAACTATTATCTTCCACTCCAGATTGCTACGAAGTTGCTTTAAAGGTAATAAAATAGATATTTATTAATTTTGCTTTGGTAAACCGAGGAAATTCAAAATAAGCAAACTATTAACGAATTTTAACTAATTTTAATGATGGCATTACCTAATTTATATATTCTTATAAAATTAGGCGGGATTTAAAGCGTTAATGCAGTCTGAAAGTTCTGTATTGAAAGTACAACTTGACGCCCTGGCGGTTAGAATACAAAACACAGGTAGCACAAATAGACACCCTGGCGGTCAGAATACAAAACACAGGTAGCACAAATAGACACCCTGGCGGTCAGAATACAAAACACAGGTAGCACAACTAGATACCCTGGCGGTCAGAATTTAAAACACCGGTAGAACAATTAGACACCCTAACGGTGAGAATACGAAACATCGTATTACAACTAGACACCCTAGCGGCCTGAATCCTTCTATCTATCTATTTATCTATTTAGAAGGTGACCTACTTGAAGACCTGTATCTGCGCCTGATAAAAGAGTTCCCTGGTGATGTTGGATGTTTTGTTATATATTTTCTCAACAGGGTCAAACTTCAACCAGGACAGGTTAGTTTTATGAAACTTTTCAGGCTATGTACCTGGGACCTAATGTACTGTAATGTACTGTAATGCGCATTTTCAGGTCGTGTACCTTGGACCTAATGTACTGTACTGCATATTTTCAGGCTATGTACCTGGGACCTAATGTACTGTACTGCATATTTTCAGGCTATGTACCTGGGTTCTAATGTACTGTACTGCATATTTTCAGGCTATGTACCTGGGACCTAGTGTACTGTATTGCGCATTTTCAGGCTATGTACCTGGGACCTAATGTACTGTACTGCATATTTTCAGGCTATGTACAGGGTGGCCAAAATGTACGGATTGTACGGATTGATTTTTTTTAANGGTTCTAATGTACTGTACTGCATATTTTCAGGCTATGTACCTGGGACCTAATGTACCGCACGCCTATCTTTCTGGAGACTGTATTGAATGCATGGCAAACAGGGATGCAAGCTAATAATTTACCAATCATTCAATTATAAAGTTAAATTATAAAAAATGTTTTTTGGGACTAGGAAGACGGCTGTTAAAAATGATTTTGAGTTTATGACTAAATATTTCAGTAAATTGAAACAAATCAATCGTGCAATGTACAGTGTACACAGACCCATTTTATTTTGAATAAGAATATTTGCTTGATAACGATATGAACAAACACTTTAAATGATTGATAAAAATGATGTCTTTCTACAATTTGACAGGTTCAACTTTATTTAATTTAATCGGTGTTAACTTTCCAGTCTATGGACTTCTATAATTATCTATGGACTTCTATAGTTCACTTTGCTAAATCTCAATACCATAAGATCTTTTTCAAATACTAAGATACAAATCATCATCATTAATGTGAATTTTTAGTGTTTATTTCTTAAATAAATTGAGCTTGACCTGTAAACAGTGACAATGTTGTGAGAGCTGGGTTGACCCCTAAGCTAATTGATACTTCAACTCTGGTCAATATGTTGGAATACAGGTAGACAGAGAACAGGGGTTCTGATAAAGTCGTCGTATATATCAATACTATGAAGACGACTTTTGATTCCAATTTTGATTTGTATCAAGCTTTTAAACAGCATATATAGCACATAAACATGTAAACAAGAGAAGCTAATACTGATCAGCCTCTCTATTTGTTTGCTTGTGAACTTGTTATTTGCATTGAATATAAACGTTTGGTTAACTCAATGTAAACGCTGGGTTAACACAATGTAAACACTGGGTTAACACAATGTAAACGCTGGGTTAGCACAATGTAAACGCTGGGTTAACACAATATAAACGCTGGGTTAACACAATATAAACGCTGGGTTAACACAATGTAAACGCTGGGTTAACACAATGTAAATGGCCCATTCCACCCAAATAATGTGGGGGAGAGAGAGTGAAAAGGATGCCTCAACTCAAACTATCCCTGGAAGAATGATTTGATTTGATTTCCTTTTGAATGGGATCAAAAAAAAATTCAGAAAAATTAAAAATATAAAACAATTACTATCATTGTTTTTGGTAAACTTTTTTGAGGGGGTTATTGTTGATTGTTTTTTGGTTTGTTATTTGGTAAATTTATATTATATGTGTATGTTTGATCTATAGTTGACTGATTTTATTAAGCTTTTGATTTGACTGATTGATCAGGTGTGGACCGGCAGAAGACCGGAAGTTTGCTGGACAAGATTCCGGATCGAGTGTGCTTTTTAATCCTCCAGTGCCGGACTTTTCCGTAAACCGGATCCAGGTATTGATTTTTAGGATTTTTTCAAGTCATGACGTTTGAGTTCCAAGAACCCGGATTCAAAGGGCGAAATATCAACCAAAAACTATTAGGATCAAATGAAATAGAATCCTAAACATTATGATAATTAATATTTACTGAGGTTGTAACTTTAGTGTGGAGTAACATCTATTTTGAACGTCTGATCTCGGTATCCATTGTGGGCATTCTTAAATTCGAGGATCAATGGTTGATCCCTTAATTATGATTAACCCTATGTATAGTAATAAAGGACTATGTCTGCGTCAGGCTTGAAACCCCTGGTTTGGGAGGGATCGTGATGGCGCGCCCTTGTCAGGCTAGGGAGCTCCGGGACAATCCCTATCTTCTTCATTTGATCTCTATAGGGCATGAACACCACGTGATATTGAAGAGTAACTAAAGATGGAGATCAATTCTTGATCCCAAGATTGACCCCCTCCCCACACACACTACCCCTTCCCCCTATATGTTCATAATTCCATTATTTCAGGGTTCAGTTTTATTTCTTCCCTGCAACAAGATTTTGGAACTATTTCCTGAGGACTGTGAGGAACTAGTAGCTTATCAAGCTTTCTCTTCAGATTAAGCTGGGTTTTTTCCTTGAAAAATGGAGCTTTTCCTTACGATGAAACAGATAAAGCAGCTTTCTACCATAATTTAATTTGTTTTTTAATGACTTAACAGCTATTATGAGGTAGCTTTTTTATTAAGCAGCCTTTTCTTCCGAATGAATAGCTTTTTTTTCAGAAAAAAAGTTGCTTTTTTACTGATTAAACCGCTTTTTACTTGACAAATTTACTCCTTATTTTAAAAGTTGCTTTTCACTAGAAAATAGCAGCTTTATCATAGTTTTGATGTGGTGTACTTTTATTTGAATTAATTTCTGCTTTATTTAATATAAAGTCTTACCATTAAGAAGCTGTTTTACTGGCTTAATTTTATTAATGAACTTTTTTCAAAATAACTATCTTGCTATTATAATAATGCTTAACACGAGCATATATCCCTTTTTTCTTCCTCTTACTCTGTGTGTTTAGTATAATTAAAGGGACTGTACGCGTAATGTCAAGTGACCGTCCATGCAAAGATGACCATTCCAGATTTACAACGGTACCTTTCAAACCTTAAGCTCAAAAATGTGGAGATACCGTTGTTTTTCTGACCCAAAAGTGTTTGACACTCATAATTTCTGCCTTAATTTATTACTGTTTGTTTTACATTATCGTGGACGCTTCTTGTTAAATGGAAGGTTTCTTGAAATTACGCTTACAGTTCCTTTAGAGCATAAAGTTTAAAAAGCTTTTATATAGGACTAGTATTGTTCTGCATGATTAAACTTTAACAATACGATATTTTGAATGAAATTTACAATATTTTTGCAAGATCTGTTGAACCAAATGTTAACACTGTTAAAGAAATCTTAACGTTTTGTTTGTAGATAGAAATTACGAAAATGTTGATAAAATACATTTTGTTAGTAATTTTGTAAGAAATTCGGACATTTTGTTATATTTCGATCATTTTAGTAGAAATTACGAACATTTTGTCAGAAATTATTAACGTATCGTTAGAAATTATGAATATTTTGTTCGAAATTTTATAAAAATTGAAATTCGAACATTTTGTTGTACTTTTTAACAGAAGATTATGGATATAAAAATTTGTGAGATATTTCCATAATATTCTTTTCATAATTTTGAACAAAACGTTTAAAATTGATATTACGAAGCATAAAAATTAGGGTTTCTACAGCTTAAAATGTAAACTGGTCTAGTCACTAAAGTTATTTATTGTCCTAATGTGAAGACGACATTGCTAAATTTACTGAAAACTATTTTAACTTTCAATGTGTTCTTAAAATGTATTCACTACCACCCTTTTTTCTCAAAAGAATTGCTTGAAGTAATTTAAGTAACCCGCCATGCAAAGATGTCAATGCCTGATTTATAACCATACCCTTAAAACCTCTTATCGGATCAATTATGTGAATTATGCAGTTTAAATGTTACTTTTGAAACCAGAATTAAGAATAATTAGTTATCAAAATTTTTAAAAATCAGTTAAAGCTTTTAAGGATACCGTTGTAAATTGGGCATTGCCATCTTGGGTCACTTGAAATTACGCTTACAGTCCCTTTAGTATTAACTGAGATTTGAAAACCAGCAGTCAGCATAAAATAATCTAGTCACGTTTTAGTTTTATACACTTTGTTCTGTTATACTATCATTATTATCATTCCTGTTGTATGTCTTTAAGCACGGTTAAAGGGACTACTACGTATTTTCAAGTAAACATCTAGAGTCACATGAAATATCGTTGACAGTCCCTTTAAAAATTATATGTGCCCTGTCAACCGAACTATGCATTTAGATAAATAAATATATCTTTTTATAGAATTATAGATGTTTTTCTAGAAATAAACAGGATTACACTTATTCGCGTTTGTATTTGTTTTAAATTTCAGAAAAAATGGATAATGAAGACGACACAAAAATGGATAATGAAGACGACACAAAAATGGATAATGAAGACGACACAAAAATGGATAATGAAGATGACACAAAAATTGCTCTTGAAAATGATATGAAGGCATTTACTATGAGGTAAGGGTACACGTCACATTGTGAAATATGCCAAAAATAAAGCATAAAAATTATTCTTTTTTCAAATTGAAGTGTATAATACATATTTCTCCGAAAACTAGAATTCTTGTGGTGCATTGGTAAAATGGCCTGCACGCGTAATTTCAATTGAACATCCATTTAAAGATGGTAATGTCCGATTCACAGTGATACCATCATTAAAGCCTTTTCTGTTCAAGAATGAATAAATTATGTATTTTTAATTGTGGTTACTCTATGAATGTGACGCGTTGCGCATTTCTACTGCAGGAAAACATATGTAAATAATCAGAATTAAACCCTACTACTGCAAGCAGACAATATTTTGCCTTTCATTTAATTTTAATCTGAAACCTTTTTAAAGGGACAGTTTTTCGGTTTTTTTTGGTTTATTCCAGAAAACGAGGTTGAACATTTTGATGAGTTCCTTGTATACGAGTTCGCAACAAATTACAATAGAAATTTTAAGTAATTAAATTGTGTTAAAATATACCTATTTTACCTATTTACAGTCTAGTGGTTGCAACATAGTAGCATAGTATATATAAAGATAAAGCAGATAGTGAAAAATGTAATGACAATTTTTTTATTTTTTTATTTTTAAATTTTAGAAAAATATTTGTTTCAGAGACTCTGATCTTCGGCTTCTAGGAATACGATTCAAAAATATTTACGGGAAAAGGGAGTGTTCGCAGATTTTCTAGCGGTGTCCCACGAAACCATGAGAATTTTACTCTACCTTTAATAATATTTTAGAATTGTGCAAATGTGCATGATACCAAACATACTATTACATGAAGTTCTAATGTTATTTTGTAAATAGTGAAAATAATTTTTAAAGTTGACATTATAATTTTTTTGTGTTCTGTTGCAAAAAAAACTTTTTTAAGAAATATTATTGAACTTATGTAGAAAAACAGAATTCACGCTTTGTACCTGAATTCAAAGCCAACAAACTAGAGGTGAAGTACATTACAGTACAGTACAGTACAGTACAGTACAGTACAGTACAGTACAGTACAGTACAGTACAGTACAGTACAGTGCAGTGAAACTTGTAACAACCATATGAATAAAAACCATTTTCTATAAAAATTCCAATTTTGATCGTTTTCCTCAAAATCACTTTTTACACCAGGGGACAGTGGGCAATGAGCACCCATAAGTAAAAATAATTTATAAATCCCGGTTTAAGATCGTCTTCCATTTTAAATTTTCTTTTCTCAATATTATAAGTCGTCAACTCTGTACAGGTGGACGCAGCTCGTAATTGGGATTTGTTCTATAAAAGAAATCAAACCAAATTCTTCAAGGATCGGCACTGGACAACAAGAGAGTTTAACGAACTTATAGGTAACACAAGGATAGATACTGGACAACCAGAGAGTTCAATGAACTTGTAGGTAACACAAGGAGAGATACTGGACAACTAGAGAATTCAATGAACTTATAGGTAACACAAGGATAGATACTGGACAACCAGAGAGTTTAATGAACTTATAGGTAACACAAGGATAGATACTGGACAACCAGAGAGTTTAATGAACTTATAGGTAACAAAAGGATAGATACTGGACAGCCAGAGAGTTTAATGAACTTAAAGGTAACACAGGGATAGACACTGGACAGCTAGAGAGTTCAATGAACTTAAAGGTAACACAAGGATAGAAACTGGACAACTAGAGAGTTCAATGAACTTATAGGTAACACAGGGATAGACACTGGACAGCTAGAGAGTTCGATGAACTTATAGGTAACACAAGGATAGATACTGGACAACTAGAGAGTTCAATGAACTTATAGGTAACACAGGGAGAGATACTGGACAATTAGAGAGTTCAATGAACTTATAGGTAACACAAGGATAGATACTGGACAACCAGTGCAGAGAGTTCAATGAACTTATAGGTAACACAAGGATAGATACTGGACAACTAGGAGTTCAATGAACTTACAGGTAACACAAGGATAGATACTGGACAACTAGAGAGTTCAATGAACTTATAGGTAACACAAGGATAGATACTGGACAATTAGAGAGTTCAATGAACTTATAGGTAACACAAGGATAGATACTGGACAACTAGGAGTTCAATGAACTTATTAGTTTTTTAAATAATTTTCAGGGGAACCTGGTTCAGTTTCTGCTGATGATCAGAAACCTGACAAGTGTCAGGATTCTATGCAGGGCCGCCAGAAAACACTGTTAGAAGTTGGCTGTGGAGTTGGAAACTTTGTATTTCCACTTCTAGGTAAAAATTTTCTTAAATTTTTCTTCGAATTATTTTTCACTTTACAGTGGGATCCAAAATATGATGGTATTGAAGGACGAGTCACACTGCTCAGAATATGAGTCTGGTCCCGGAAGAAACTATACACAGATGGAATTAAAAACGACTTGAAAATTCTTTTTAAAAATTTATTTACAGAAAAAATGTTTTTTATCAAAGAATATTAGAAACATTAACTAAAAATAAACATATTTTTAAATATTAGTCTGGAAAAGAAATAGTTCATGTCAAAAAATGCAAGTAAATTATTTTAAGTCCCCATACAGTCTTTCACCTTTCTTCTATTCTCCCTCTTTCCTGTTTCAATGGAAAGTTTTTTTACTGAATTATAATTTTTAAGCATAAATGCACACATACAATGTGTACATTGTGCTTGAATATACATTTCGTTTTAACAATAAAACAATATTTACACGCAGTTTAATGATTAAAATTCAGTGTAGAGTTCCGTTATTTCATTGTTTTTACGTATTTTTGCGTAAAACTTGTTAAAAATTCAATATTATGTGGATTTATTGATGTACTGCAGATTATTAAATGTCGTCTTTGATCAGTGTGGGTTCTTTCTAGCTTCTCATACGAACTCATTTTCTACAAATTCTGCGCACTTTGGCATGTTAGACACAAGTTATGATTTTGAACAGTACAACACATGAAACACTACTTGCTCTATAGCAACATTGGATAACGATAAGATCGTTAAATGTTGTCTTCTAATTCCACACTTTTACGGGATTTGTGGTTTCTCTGTAAAAGTGACATGTGCATTTTTACTAAAAGAAAACATGTATGAATTATCAGATTAAATCTTTTCAACCAGAATATCTTGCACAACTCCACATCTTCATATATTCAATTTTGATTTTTTTTGTAACTTAAATACTTTACTTCCTTGGTACACTGTTGTAGACCTCATTTGGAATCTGATGATAGACCTCTCTTGATTTACTCCATCATTTCTGTCTGGGAATCAGTTTAGAAATTTTTTCTGGAACATCACGGCAGGATTCATGTGGTTGTTGCCATAGGCCTTTCTTGTTAAACTATGTTTCGCCTTAAACTCTTTGAGAGGATATGCGACTATACAAAGTTCCGCTATCGAGCATGCATTGATCTCGATATCTACAGTTCAAGAGTTCCCAGCTTAGTCTTCCTCGGGGCAAGAAATAAGAGTTTGAAAATTCTCACAGAGTGTTTTTTATTAACGAATATTTCCTTAGGTCGAAAACAACACTGTTTCAAATAAACTTTCTCATTGCAGTACCAGTCAAATGAGAGTGTATTCATTCTCACCAGTGCTAGGCAGAGTAGCACCAGTCAAATGAGATTGTATGCATTCTCACAAGTGCTCTGCAGAGTATCATAAATTTAAGGTATCAATATTTTTTTCAAAAAAGGGGTTATTAGGGGTGACACAATGTTGCCAAGGGGGGGGGACAGAAAATGTGCCCCCTACACCAATGCCCTCGTTCGCCCATGAGGACCGATCTCTTCCCCCATTCTCTTCCCACTCCACTTCCTGCCCTCCCCTTGACTTATCAAGTATATATATATGTGTTACAACTGAAACAGGTTTAGTTCTTAATATTTCCGCTAGAGTTCTCACAATAAACTTATTTTCTACAAATAAATCTTTTGTTTTGGCATTTTTTCATCAAATAATTAAAGTTTAGATGCAATCATGAATAAGAATTCCAAATCAATTAAGATTAATTGATATTTCTAAAGAATAAGCAAATGACAATTTTATTTAAATCTTATAAGTATTTATCACTGATCCTGTTACCTTTAAAACATATTCAATAAAATCACCTATTTCCTTGTACAGGAGTTATTATTTATAAGTTCAGATGTTGAACATCAAGATTGTCTCAAAATTAATCGAAGGGCACATGAATTTCACAGCATTTTTCAATATTACTGATTTATCATGTATACTGATATTGTTTTTATAAGAGAAAATTAACATAAAACTTTCCTGTCTAATTTCCAATAGTTAGGGTCGTACAAAGACTTTGCTAAATAAAGATAGCGCATCAGAAAATACGCAAATTCGACGCATTTTTCGGGCCTAGACAGTAACTAATGTCGACTTCTCTGGAAATCCAGTATATATCTACCCTGTTGACGTTTCATAATGTCGTCTTTTGTAATGGATTAAATAATTATTTAAAAACAAAGAAAGGAAAAGGTTTCAATATTTTTTTCAAAAAAGGGGTTTTTAACCCTATTCCCGCTGGGGGGGGGGTAAATGCCCTCGTACGCCCCTGGACTGTATTTGACAATATATCCATGATGTTTATATATTTAGAAGATAATTTGAACTTGTTCATCTACTGCTGTGATTTTTCTCCAAGGTAAATTAAAATATTAAAAAAACTTGTTCCTTCTCAATGTTTTGTGCACAGATTTTAAGATCAAATGTCGGATTGCAAAGAGCATAATTTTACAATTCTCAATACAACCAAGTGTACACTGTACAATATACCCAACTGTACACTGTACACTGTAAAATATAAACAACTTGACTTTGAACAACATAACTAAATGTACACTGTACAATAATACCAACTGTACTGGTACAATATAACTAATTATGTAAAATGCAAATTAAAATGATCTTTACACTGTACAATATAACCAACTATACTGTGTAAAAAAATTAATAACTGTACACCGTAAATTATAACGATATGTACAATGTAACCAACTGTATTGTGTACAATATAACTGAATGTATGTAATAAATATAGAGGCCCCATAGTAAATCTAGATAAATTACCTTGTACATGGTCCATACAGCTAAATGTGCTCATTAGTAAAAATGTAAATCATGTATTGTGATTAACCCAATCTAGATATGTAAATATAAATAACTCCGTCATACCCATATTGTGATTGCTTAACTGCGTTATATATAACTTGTAATTAGGCTGTTAAGACCTAACTCTAATCTAACATGAAGAAATATACTCAGTTGATATAGAGACTCCGATTTGATTGCTGCGAGAGAGTAATTTGGTTCTTGTTGAAACATACGAGCTGAGATCGCGCCCATTGGTTTGGCATTGATAGAGTACAAGCTAGTGTCTGGTTGACATTGATAGCTCATGAGATTGTGCCCAGTGGTTTGGCATTGATCAATTAATAGCTAGTTTCCGTGTTGACATAGATAGCTGACGAGATCGCACCCATTGGTTTGGCATTGATAGAATAAGTGCTAGTGTCTGGTTGACATCTATAGCTCATGAGATCGTGGCCAGTGGTTTGGCATTGATCGATTACTAGCTAGTGTCCATGTTGACATTGATAGCTGAGGAGATTGCGCCCATTGGTTTGACATTAAAAGAATAAGTGCTATTGTCTGGTTGACATGGATAGCTGTAGAGATTGTGCCCAGTGGTTTGGCATTGATCAATTAATAGCTAGTGACCGTGTTGACATAGATAGCTGACGAGATCGCGCCCATTGGTTTGACATTGAAAGAATAAGTGCTAGTGTCTGGTTGACATGGATAGCTGACGAGATTGTGCCCAGTGGTTTGGCATTGATAGATTAAGTGTCCATGTTGACATCGATGGCTGAGGAGATCGCGCCCATTGGTTTGGCGTTGATAGTTCACGGGATCATGTCTGTGTTTTGACATTGATAGTCAAGTGAACTGAGTTGTACCTGGATAGATACGGGTCTGAGAACAGTTTATGGAGTAGGGCATTTACTACATGTACACTGTAAATTAAAATGATCTATTCTTGAATATTACCAACTGTACAGTGTACAATATAACTACTGTACAGTGTACAATATATCTACTGTACACTGTAGAATATAACCAACTGTGTACACTGTAAATTATAACGTTCTGTACACTGTAGAATATAACCAACTGTGTACACTGTAAATTATAACGTTCTGTACACTGTTAAGAGGTGTAGAGTTTGTAAAACAGAATGAAAACTATGATGAGAAAAGAATAAAAGCTTTTGTATGTGATATTACAACGAACAAGTTAATAGAAGGTATGAGAAATTATGCTAAATTATCCAGAGTCTAAAACTAAAGAATGCGCGAATTTTAAGTTCGAGGTTAAAAGTTCTGTAAAATAATGAATACCTACTTAAATAATAAACTTTCTCAATTTTAAATTTGAATTTCTCGGGAAAATCTGAACCAATCAGAGAAAAGGATTTACGGAGAATATTACATAACCATCGCTAATCAGCTGTTTTTACGCAACCGAAAACAAAACATACAACCGTTTTTTTGGGTTTACATCCAAAAATTAATTTATCTAAAACGTGAAATTTCTTTAACAAGGTTTTCACTTTTAAATATATCGTTAAGTTGAATGCCGCTTTCTCAGCTGCAGCTGAATGATGATTAAATAATAGACAAATAGGGAAAATGCAGGATTTCAAGATTTTAAACCTGTGTTTAAATTTTAACTCGTCGATTTCGGCGAGTTAAATATTTAACCACAGGGTTAAATATTTAACCTCACGGTTAAAGTTCAGGTTTAAATTCAGTCAGAAGTGGGATTTAACCATGAACTTAAAATTTAAGTCAAAACTTTTCGTTCTTTAGTTTTAGACTCAGGGGTGTATGTTTACTTGAAAACTATCCCACTCCCCTCCCCCCAATTTATTTGTTTTATTCCCTGAATTAGTGCAAATTATTTAAGTATCAATAAGGATGAAAAGTTTGCCTTTAGATGTCCAATTTTTTATTTTTTTATTTAAAAGATCGTAGTTAATAAAACTAACATACGACTTTTTTTCTTTATACCTCATTAAAAATAAAAGTAAATCACTTTTTATTCTTTTGAATTTATTAAATTAAAAAATCTAAGATTTTTGGCTGACATTATCAATTTTGACAGGCAAAAATTCTTCCATTGGGTTCCTCGTAGAAATGGCCATGATCAGTAAAGCCGTTTTTTTTCGTTTATTTGATACTATCAAACAGACATTTTACACAGTTTTTTATCAAAACTTTCCTTTTTTATATTTAGAATTAGGAGAAGGGAGTGTTGATATTGTTAGTATGGTGTTTGTTCTTTCAGCGATTCATCCAGATAAACATAAACAGGTTCATTCATTCATTCATCCTTTCATTTATTCATCTTTTTATTCATTCATTTATTCATTCATTTATTTATTCATTCATTCATTCATACTTTCATCGTTTGGGAATTATAAGTTAATAGGTTCATTCAAGTTAATAAGGCAAGGAAAGTTAATTGCAGTTGCATATACTCTGCGTACATATTGAAACCAGTTCTCTCTGGGCGGAATCTGTAAACAAGAATAGATGCATCATGCAATGTTTCTTATGTATCCGTGGAGGATAAAAGCATTTAATTTTGATAATTTTGATGAATCACATAATAGTTCCTATGACCAGAATATTTCATTGATTTTGTATGTGAAAACGGATCCCATGTCAGGGTGTGACATCCGTCTTGTGTTTACTTTACCGCCCAGAGACAGTACACTGCAGTACTAAAAATGTGTACACTTCTGAAATAACTTTCCTTGCATTATAATTCTTTGGGTTCATTAGTTTATTCGTTCATTCTATTAATCAGTATATCTATCTATTTATCTATCTATCTATTATCTCTATTTATCTATCCATCTTTCCATCCATCTATCTATCTATATATCTTTCTATATATCTATCTTTCAATCTATCTACGCTTCTAGACTGTACTATGTAGCTATAACTATCTTTTTAAGTATTGTGTGTGTACCCTTTACAGAGTACTGTGACTATGTGGTGTACTGCTGTAAATATTTCTATAATATCTATCTATCTATCTATCTATATATCTATTTATCTATCTATCTATCTAGGTGTTGTATATTCTGTACCGTGTACTGCGTCCAGGAAGTGTACTGATGTTCATATATCTATTTATCTATCTATCTATATATCTATTTATATATCTATCTATCTATTTAGGTATTGTGAACTNTAGATGAATAGATAAATAGATAAATAAACATGTAGATGAATTATTGAATAGATGAATAGATAAATTGATAAAGAAACATGTAGATGAATAATTGAATAGATGAAGAGATGAATAGATAAATAGATAAATAAACATGTAGATGAATAGATAAACAGATAAATAAACATGTAGATGAATAATTGAATAGATGAATAGATAAATAGATAAATAAACATGTAGCTAGATGAATAATTAAATAGATGAATAGATAAACTGATAAATAAACATATAGATGAATAGATAAACAGATAAATAAACATGTAGATGAATATTTGATTAGATGAATAGATAAACAGATAAGTAAACATATAAATGACTAGATAAATAGATAAATAAACATGTAGATGAATAATTAAATAGATGAATAGATAAATAGATAAGTAAACATATAGATGAATAGATAAATAGATAGAAGTAATAACCAATATAATATTTAAAATATAATTAGATAAATAATATATGATAATATATAATACATTTATATAATATATTTAGATTTGGACCTGGCTCTAAAATAAGTGAAAATTTTTACACGAGACAGGTATTTTATTATTATTATTATTATTATTGTTATTGTCAATAGTCATTGTCATTGTCATTGTCCTAGACATAGACATAGACATGGACATGGACATGGACATTGTCATTAATAGTTTTTATTTAATAGGATGGAACAAGAACCTATTTCTTCAGTCCTGAGTATTTAGGAATATAGAAAACTAAAAAAATATTTAAAAACATTTTAAGTTTCTTTTTCTCTATACATATAAGATAAACAACCCGGGTAAAAAAAATGAAAAAGAGATTGTAGTGTTTTTCTCAGAGAGGTATTAAAAAAGGGATCGTTTTGGTTTTTTAAAGGATAAGTAAAAAAGTGAATATTGTGTAAAAGTTTAGTATTCTGTGGCTAGAGAGTGAAGTTTCTAAGACTGGACTCTGTATTCTGGAGAACGGAATTATACATCGTAGAACTGTAAACAAGAAGGAGGGAGTAGATGCTGCCAGGATATTCCTTCAGGGGGGTGTACATTGTACATTAACTGTTGTACATTGTACAATTTAATATTTAACTGTTCCCCTTTTTCTTATTTTTGCCTAATTTCACAAATTTTCGAGCTTTGCTCCTCTAGATTTTTTCTAATAAATCATATTCATGTCTTCTCTTTTTCCTTCATTTTCTAATATATCATATTCATGCCTTCTCTTTTTCCTTCNCCTTCTCATTCTTCTTTCCTCCTTTTCTATCCTTCTCATTCTTCTTTCCTCCTTTTCTATCCTTCTCATTCTTCTTTCCTCCTTTTCTATCCTTCTCATTCTTCTTTCCTCCTTTTCTATCCTTCTCATTCTTCTTTCCTCCTTTTCTATCCTTCTCATTCTTCTTTCCTCCTTTTCTATCCTTCTCATTCTTCTTTCCTCCTTTTCTATCCTTCTCATTCTTCTTTCCTCCTTTTCTATCCTTCTCATTCTTCTTTCCTCCTTTTCTATCCTTCTCATTCTTCTTTCCTCCTTTTCTATCCTTCTCATTCTTCTTTCCTCCTTTTCTATCCTTCTCATTCTTCTTTCCTCCTTTTCTATCCTTCTCATTCTTCTTTCCTCCTTTTCTATCCTTCTCATTCTTCTTTCCTCCTTTTCTATCCTTCTCATTCTTCTTTCCTCCTTTTCTATCCTTCTCATTCTTCTTTCCTCCTTTTCTATCCTTCTCATTCTTCTTTCCTCCTTTTCTATCCTTCTCATTCTTCTTTCCTCCTTTTCTATCCTTCTCATTCTTCTTTCCTCCTTTTCTATCCTTCTCATTCTTCTTTCCTCCTTTTCTATCCTTCTCATTCTTCTTTCCTCCTTTTCTATCCTTCTCATTCTTCTTTCCTCCTTTTCTATCCTTCTCATTCTTCTTTCCTCCTTTTCTATCCTTCTCATTCTTCTTTCCTCCTTTTCTATCCTTCTCATTCTTCTTTCATTTCTCCTTAACATTCTGTTCAAGTATTATATGAAAATGTACAAAATATTCACCCCGCAGGCAAAACTCCGAAAACCCGAAATATTGTGAAAACATAAGAATTGTTTCTTCAAGAGGAAATACAGAAATAAAACTAGAACACGAATATAAAATGGAAGAACTGAGGGATTCACAACCATGTAGAAGTAAACTGAAAAACTACAGTTGAGACGAGAAACACAATAAACCAGAGTTCCATATAATCCACAAATCCCACAATAGTTCTGAACATTGAACCAGAGAGCCATATAACCCGCTAATACCACAATAGTTATGAACATTGAACCAGAGTGCCACATAATCCACAAATACCACAATAGCTATACGTCTGAAGATGGCCACAATATCCACAATAACTTCATTTGCATTACGAAAATAACTACAACTGTTATGGGATAATCCATAATATGTTTTGAACAACAGAAGTAAAGATTAAGAAGCTAAATAATGTCAAACACAACTCTGAAATAGAAGAGATAAAAATAAGTTTGGGGGGGAAAGAGTGAAAAATATGTAAAGCATTAGACCAAAAAAATCATATTTTTCCATTTTTGTATTTAACGATAATGTTAATAAACTGTTTTTTAATTCGATGGATTTGATACCATTACAATTGTTGTTTGAAGAGATTTCTCAATAAATATTATCTTCAAAGTTTATTGACGTATTTTAGAAATTGATGGATAAAATCTTTTAAATAATATTTTTATTTTTATTATTATATGTGCAATGTGAACTTTATCATGTATGCTTAGAGATTACGTTCAATTTCATTATAGCAGTGTATAAGATGATCTTCGTGCATATAATAATAATTGAGCCACTTATTATTGCAGTGATAAAAAAATATAGTTGGTTCCCAAATTTTCTCTGAAATATTCAAGATCTTCTTGGAATATTTTTCATTTAAATGAAAATAAAAATTATATAATATATTATAAATTATGCAGTCGTATATAAACTTGTATATATTTTCTTATATAAGTCTATGCATCTATGTATCTATGCATCCTACGCAAATGATAAAACTCGTTTTTAACCCCAATGGTCTCATATCGTGCCTGGTATCCTGCTATGTTGGTTGGGGTAGGATGAACAATTTTTAATTAACGCAAGTTATTTTATCTTTTTCTAATATCTTTAAAGGGAGTGACCGGCTATGTAAGGTAGTTGAACTGAGTATGCAGTGTTGTGGAAAGCTTCTTTCGGATTCATTTGAGACATTAAACTTTTTAAAGATCTGTAAATCCTGAGTTTGAGCGCAAATTCGATGTTCAAAATTCCTACTTTGGGGGTGGATACGTTTTCAGAATTAGTTTTATTTTAAATTATCAATTAACGACGACATAAAATGTAAAAAAGTTCTACAATAAACTACAGTCGACGTCATGTATAGGAACATGTTGAGGAAATAAAAATTAACCTTTTCAGCCCAAATAAGTAATCTTGTTCAATTATTAGTTTCTCATTATTCTGGTTTCTCATTATTTACAAAGTGACAAAGATTTTCACAGATTTTCTAGAATTATTATTGAAAAGACGACATTGGAAGAAATTGAAGAAATCTGCGAATAAATTCATAGAAACAAAGAAATTCAATATAATGATGAAAACGACATAATCGATTTTAGCATTGATTTATTGACAAATTTCTTTAGAGAAATATGTTCCTAACTATCTAATTAGATTACTGAATAATTTTTACTTTTATTTTTCGTTGTTATTAAAAAAACTAATTCTGAAAACGTATCCACTCCCAAAGTAGGAGTTTTAAACGTCGAATTTGCGCTCAAACTCAGGATTTACAGATCTTTAAAAAGTGTAATATGTCTCAAATGAATCCAAATAAAAGTTTTCCACAGCACAGTATACTCAGTTCAACTAGCTTACATAGCCGGTCACTCCCTTTAAACAAAAATTTAGCAAGTAAACCCCTGATTATTTTAATAGCGCTCCGCCAAACATACTAACTTCCGTGTAAAGAAATATATTTGTTGATAAAAAAATAAAAAAAGCAATATCAATTAAAACTCTGAAAATGGTTTTGATTTGAGTAGATATTTGTTCAATTTAACTGAGAACCACATATAGCAGGGGCCTAAAAAAGGATTCTGTTGGGGGGGGGGGGG